CCAGTCTCTGCATTGCTGGCTACCGGTCTGGTGCACCATCATCTCGTCCGAAACAAGTGGAGATCGCTTGCTGCCCTGGCAGTTGAAACTGCCGAGGCTCGCGAGGTCCACCACCACTGTGTTCTGCTAGGATATGGTGCCGATGCCATCAATCCCTACCTGGCTCTAGAATGTATTCTCAAGATGAACCGGGAGAAGTTGATCCGCAAGGACATCCCCGATGAGAGGGTTGTTCAGAACTATAAGTCATCCTGTGATGGCGGTATTCTGAAAGTCATGAGTAAGATGGGTATCTCTACTCTGCAGTCTTACAAGGGTGCCCAGATTTTCGAAGCCCTTGGTATCGACGACAGCGTTATTGATCGCTGCTTCTCCGGTACTGCCAGTCGCATCCGTGGTATCACATTCGATCTGATTGCCCAGGATGCATTCGCCTTCCACGAGCGTGGTTACCCCTCGCGTCCAATTGTCGAGGTTCCCGGTCTGCCCGAATCCGGCGAGTACCACTGGCGTGATGGAGGAGAGGCCCATATCAACGACCCTACTAGCATTGCCAACGTGCAGGATGCCGTTCGCACCAAGAACGACAAGTCCTACGAAGCCTATGCCAAGTCCGCACATGAACAGATCAAGAACTGCACTTTGCGTGGAATGCTAGACTTCGATTTTGACCAGCGTACCCCTATTCCCATCGACCAGGTCGAGCCTTGGACCGAGATTGTTCGTCGCTTCGTGACCGGTGCCATGTCCTACGGCTCCATCTCTATGGAATCTCACTCTACAATTGCCATTGCCATGAACCGCTTGGGTGGCAAGTCCAACACTGGTGAGGGTGGTGAAGATGCCGAGCGTAGCAAGAGAATGGAGAATGGCGACACGATGCGGTCCGCCATTAAGCAGATTGCTTCTGGTCGTTTCGGTGTGACATCCAACTACCTAGCTGACGCCGATGAATTGCAAATCAAGATGGCCCAGGGTGCCAAGCCCGGTGAGGGTGGTGAATTACCCGGCCACAAGGTCGTCGGCCCCATTGCTCGCACTCGGTTCTCCACACCAGGAGTCGGTCTTATCTCCCCGCCCCCGCACCATGACATCTACTCCATTGAAGATCTGAAGCAGCTTATCTACGATCTTAAGTGCTCTAACCCCAGAGCTCGTGTCTCCGTTAAGCTCGTATCTGAAGTTGGTGTTGGTATTGTCGCCTCTGGTGTGGCCAAGGCCAAAGCTGATCACATCTTGATCTCTGGCCATGATGGTGGCACCGGTGCCTCGCGCTGGACCGGTATCAAGTATGCCGGTCTTCCTTGGGAATTGGGTCTTGCAGAGACTCATCAAACTCTGGTTTTGAACGATCTTCGTGGTCGTGTCGTGGTCCAGACTGATGGCCAAATCCGTACGGGCCGTGACCTTGCCATCGCCTGTCTCCTCGGAGCGGAAGAATATGGATTTGCCACAACTCCTTTGATCGCATTAGGATGCATTATGATGAGAGTGAGTACCTCCAGCCTCTGGTTCCCTAACGAGCAGCCTATTAACAACTGCCTTTTCCCTAGAAATGTCATCTGAATACCTGCCCTGTTGGTATCGCGACTCAGGATCCCGAACTGAGGCAGAAATTCAAGGGTACGCCCGAGCATGTTATCAACTTCTTCTACTATGTTGCCAACGAGATGCGTGCCATCATGGCTAAATTGGGTGTTCGTTCGGTTAATGAGATGGTTGGTCGTGCTGAGCTGCTCAAGGTCCGGGACGATATTCGGAATGTCAAGCAGGAACGAATTGACCTGTCACTCATCCTGACCCCTGCTCACTCACTTCGTCCCGGAGTCGCTACCTACAATGTTCGCAAGCAGGATCACCGCCTTCACACCCGCTTGGACAACAAGTTGATAGCTGAATCGGAGCTTGCTCTTGAGAAGGGTTTACCTTGCCGAATTGAGTGTGATATCGTCAACACCGACCGTGCTCTGGGCTCTACACTCTCTTATCAGATCAGCAGACGTTATGGCGAAGCTGGTCTGCCTCAGGATACCATCCACGCAAACATTAAGGGCTCTGCTGGTCAATCCTTTGGTGCTTTCCTCGCCCCCGGTGTCACCCTTGAGCTTGAAGGTGATGCCAATGACTATGTCGGTAAGGGTCTTTCCGGTGGCCGTCTCATAGTCTACCCCCCGCGTGGAGCCGCATTCAAGGCTGAAGAAAACGTCATCGTCGGTAACACCTGTCTTTACGGTGCCACCCGCGGAACTTGTTACTTCCGGGGTATGGCTGCTGAGCGTTTTGCAGTCCGTAACTCTGGCGCTACTGTCGTTGTTGAGGGTGTTGGCGATCACGGATGTGAGTACATGACTGGTGGTCGTGTACTCAATCTCGGACCAACTGGCCGCAACTTCGCTGCTGGTATGTCTGGTGGTATTGCCTATGTTCTTGATAAGAACCAGGACTTCCATTCCAAGGTTAACTTGGAGATGGTTGAGATCTCCAGCATCGAAGACCCATCAGAGATTGCCTTTGTTCGTGGCTTGATTGAAGATCACCACCATTACACTGGCTCTGAGTTGGCTGCTCGCATTCTTCTCGACTTTACTCGTGCGCTTTCTCACTTCGTCAAGGTCCTGCCAACTGACTACAAGCGTGTCATGGAGGAAGAGGCTGCTAAGGCAGAGGCTGCAAAGAAGGCCGAATTCACTCTTCCTCAGCTCCCTAGCACCCCAGTCAAAGCCGAGAAGGCCAATGCCCATGACTCCAAGAAGACTGACTTGCTGGATATTGAAGACAGCATTAGCGATTCGAAGACTGAGAAGAAGCGATCTGCATTGATCTTGGACAAAACGAGAGGTTTCATGAAGTACAGCCGCCGCAGTGAGAAGTATCGCAGTGCAACAACCCGTACTCGCGACTGGGGCGAGATCTCTCACCGCCTCAGCGAGGATGAGCTTAAGTACCAGTCTGCCCGTTGTATGGACTGTGGTGTTCCATTCTGCCAATCTGACACTGGCTGTCCCATTTCCAACATCATACCCAAATGGAATGAGCTCATATTTAGAGGGCAATGGCAGGACGCTTTGAACCGTCTGCTCATGACCAACAACTTCCCTGAGTTCACCGGTCGTGTGTGCCCTGCGCCTTGCGAAGGCTCCTGTGTTCTAGGCATCAATGAAGACCCCGTCGGTATCAAATCCATCGAGTGCGCAATCATTGACCGTGGATTCGAGATGGGCTGGATGGTTCCCCGCCCCCCTAAGATCCGCTCTGGCAAGACCATTGCTATCATTGGCTCTGGGCCTGCTGGCTTAGCTGCTGCTGATCAGCTCAACCGCGCTGGTCACAGCGTCACCGTTTATGAGCGTGCCGACCGAATGGGTGGTCTTCTCATGTATGGTATCCCCAACATGAAGCTTGACAAGAAGGTTGTCCAGCGCCGTATCGACCTCATGGCCGCTGAAGGTATCAAGTTCGTTGCGAGCACTGCTGTTGGCCCTGACTGCGAGGTTTCCCTGCAGTCTCTCCGTGCCACAAATGATGCTGTTATTGTTGCCACCGGTGCCACTGTTGCGCGTGATCTCAAGGTCGCTGGCCGTGAATTGGATGGCGTGCACTTTGCCATGCAATTCTTGCATAAGAACACCAAGTCCCTCCTCGACTCTGGTCTTTCGGATGGCGCATACATCTCCGCCAAGGACAAGCATGTTGTCGTCATTGGTGGTGGTGATACCGGCAACGATTGTATTGGTACCTCTGTCCGCCATGGTGCCAAGTCGGTGACCAACTTCGAGTTGTTGCCCCAGCCTCCCCCAGAGCGTGCCCGTGATAACCCTTGGCCGCAATGGCCCCGTATTTACCGTGTCGACTATGGTCACACCGAGGTCAAGACCCACATGGGCAAAGACCCACGTGAGTACTGTGTCATGTCGACCGAGTTCGTTGACGATGGCAACAACCGCGTCAAGGGAATCAACACTGTCCGAGTTGAGTGGACCAAGAGCGCTACCGGTGGCTGGGACATGAAGACTGTAGAGGGTAGCGAGCAATTCTTCCCCGCTGACCTTGTCCTCCTGTCTATGGGATTCTTGGGCCCCGAGGATCGTGTCTTGGGTGAAGATATTGAGCTTGACCCTCGCAAGAACATCAAGACTCCTCCTGGCCACTACTCGACCAACATTCCCGGTGTCTATGCGGCAGGTGACTGTCGCCGTGGGCAGTCTTTGATTGTCTGGTGAGTTTTCGTCCAATTTTTATATAACTAGTGATATACTAATACGGTTCTAGGGGTATCAACGAAGGTCGCCAGTGTGCTCGCGAAGTGGATACTTTCCTCAGCGGAACCAGCTCCCAGCTCCCAGTCACCGGTGGTATCGTCCGTCGTCCTGCCATCGATTCCGTCCCTCAGCCCACTGAGGTTGCTGCTTAATCTAGCGGTGATGTAGGGACATGTTTACGACTTTGACGGCCATTTTCACAACAAAAGTTCCATGGGGTTGGTTCTCTGCGCGAATGAAAAAATGCCTCCAGGACTGCGCTTTCTTGAGTTTTGCTTTCTATCCTTTGTTTTATTTTTTTTTGGACTCATTTTCACCTTTTTTTTTTTTTTTTTTTTGCTTCAGCGGTTTCCCCTCCCTTCTTTCAAGTTTGCAAGGTGTTTAGAGCGTCTGCCATTCGGTGATCTCTCTATTTCTGCTGTACATAGCTTTTCTGCAAATCTGACTATGCTCCATCATTATTTCAAATTCATCTATAAAGCTGATTGTCTCGTTTTCTTTGAGGCTCTCTATTCCTTTGCATTAAACAACAAAAGAGTCGGAGAGTGTCAAAAATGTCTTTGTACTTCTTTCTGTGGCAACTTGCTCCTGTTAAACTTGTATGGCTGACTTTGATGGCTAAACTATATATAATTGTCCTTGTATCCCTTGATTTTTTTCGGAGCATTCCATTCCCTTCATTCATTTTAACTAATCCAGCTTACCTATTTCACAGATCCACAGATCCTATCCATCACAGACATGGAGAATGAGGCCAATATGACAACCGAGGCCGCGAATGATCTCAATCCGAATGGCTTTATCACCAACCGCGAGCTCGACGGCGAGCGACGTTCCATCCGCCACTATAATGATGGTCGAGTATCCGGCCGCGGTAGGAGTGTCGAGGGTAGCCTTCGATCAAAGATGCAGAAGAACTCCACAGGGGCCGGAGGCCGCGCCAGACCCCCAACCTCTCGCTCTCGGGACCTGAGCGGTCGATCTACTCCAGCTTTCGTGTCCGGTTCATCTGATATCGCTGGTATCACTGCTGCCATGGCCAAGCTCACTGTTGACCATCCCACTAGCCCTAAGGTAAAGAGACTTAACAAAAAGTTGAACCTTGATGCCTATTCGGGGTTTGAGACTGTGACTTTGCGAAAGGTCACTCCTTCATCTACGGCCAGTGTGGCCTCCTCTACGTGCAGCACGGGTAGCAGAAGTTCAGTCAATGCTAGGATAGCTGAGATTGAAGGTCGGGTAAGGAAACACATTAAGACCCAGCTTCAGTCTATTAAGGAAGAACAGGAAGAGTAATAAAGAGTGAAGTTCGGATTGGACAACTAGAGAATTGGAGAACATCACCTTACGTGTCTTCTATTGAATTTCTGAATGCTAACATGTCGAATTGCTCTTTACAATAGGTCTTACAAGCTTGCTCCGCAGTTGAGCTGTTACACGTACGCCGGCTGCTCACAGCTTCCTAGTATATGTCCGTCTCATGGCCTGAAAGAATTTTGGGTAAGTATGTTTGGGATTTCCTCTTTGATATCCTGAGACGTGTCTCTTGGGTTCACGGGCTTTTAGGTCTTTGCTAACACGTTTCGTAATTTTATGTCCTTTATTTATGTGGCGTTCAAGCTTTTCTTGAGGCGTTTTGAGCCAATCAATCTATTTCAGCATCATTCTTTCCTTTTAGTGGAATTGTATAGATCGTAGGGCATAGTTATAAAGCCTACGTAAAAACAGATCTGAGAAATACCGAGCATATAAAATTATGCAGCGGAACAGAAAACAGCCTATAAGCGCTATATGCGAATCCGCGGAGTCCTCCATATGGCCATCAAACAAACGCCGATACACAGGGGAAATGGAGAGCATCATATTATACATGAGTAAATGAAACAAAATGGCGTCTATCTACATATCGTAACAAGAAGAGAAGAGAGCAACAAGGAATATCACGAAGCCGTCCGTTCCGCTTGTTGTTTCGCTGCTTCGTCTTCGGTCTTCATCTCCTCCCACATTGCGGCAAAGTCTCCCTTGAATGAGTCTTTGGCCGGGTCTAGCCGCACATCCCAGACATCCTCACTGCTGGGGCCTGTTTTGTATTTAATCGCTTTCTTCCGGTTGTGGTCTCGGATCTCTCTCCTGCGCAAATCCTCCGGCCAAGTTCGTGTCTTCATGCACAGCCATAGATTATCCCAGAGATCGCTGCATGAACGCAGTTCTCCATATCGATAAACATTCACAAATTGGCCTCCGAAAGACTGGCAGAAGAAGGCGTAGTCGAACGCATTGCGGCAGGACATGGTGTCTTGGTAGAGGGACTCGGGGGAGATGGGTGATGAGGGTGTTTGGGATTCTGGCGACGGATTGCCATCAGGGGTCAGGCCTGTTCTTTTTGAGAGCGATGCATCCTCGGATCTGAGATCGGCCAGGATTTGGTTGAATTCCAAGTCGGCTTGTTCGTCGGGGGTCAGGGTCTTCGACGGTACATTATGCTTTGCTGGTTCCGTAGGAATTGCGGATGGTATATCCTTAGGGATATCTTTGGAAGCATCCTTGGGACTTGATCCCCACAGCCAGCCCATTTTGTTCAGCAAGAGGAAAGAATTGGTGGATCTATCGTGACACCTTGAAATCGCGAGGTTATCTTTTTCGCCGGTAATCAATATGTCATGTGACCCCGATAAACAGTCCCGATAACCAGTCACGAACCGACGTCATCAATTTGGGAAGTCGATTTAAACAACTGGATCGCTCTTCCAACTTTGTTTTTTTTTTTTTTTTTCTCTGTTCGGTATGTGTCTATGATCAGAATGAGATCGACAACCTTATCAAAAGGTCCGTTGGCCCTTTGGTCTCCGATACGCTCTCGTATCAGCGCCAATGCCTCCCGGGGGTGGGGACCTCCCCTTTGGGGACGCTCGACGATACGATGCACATCTTCTATCCAGTCGGGACATATTTCAGTAGGAAAAAATGAAGGGCTTGTCTATGTCAATAGTGAGTGCCGAGTTATAGCGAACTAACATGTCTATGCACTAACTAGCTCTAGACATATTTCCGCACCGATTACAATGGCTGCTGCGGGGGCCCCTCAGTCATATCCAGCCTCTCGAGGGGTTTTTGACACGAGTCAACAACCCAGAACTAGCGGCAGCTGATCCTACTCGTATTGTTCAACGAGCCTTGCCCAAAGACCTAGGTCTAGAGATCAAAGAGGTAGTGACGAGGTACAAAGAGGGAGGCGCATTCGTGAAGTATGCGCTCAAGTCGGACATCAGCAACGAAAGTATTCAAAATGCAATCAACGAGCATTTGAAAAGCAATCCCATTAAGCCCTGGTTCAATCCGATCTTGAAAGTTGATGTAGACCTTGTTCGCGGAACGCCGTGGATTGAAGACCTCTATCGAATCCCAAGTCAGACCCTAAAAGTGGAATTCTTGCCAACATCCCCAGATAATTCAGCGGTCGAATTAACTCAAGAGTCCCTATACTCAATGTTCCGACCTTACGGCAAACTTCTGGACATCCAAACACAGCCCTCAGATTCGAAGGTCGAACCACGATATGCAATTTTGCGATTCGAGCGCCCCCGGTTTGCCGTGATGGCAAGAAACTGCATGCACGGATTTATTGTCTCCGAAGAAGCAGGGGGCGGCAAGTCCGGTACAAGGTTCAAGATCAACTACGAGCGCAAGATTAAGCTGTTCATGATCAAGGATTGGATCTTGAACCATCCAAGACTAGTGATCCCTGCTATAGCTGCTCTGATAGCTACTATTACGGTCATAATCTTCGATCCCATTCGCACGTTCTTCATCACGCTCAAAATCAAGTCGTCGTTCCAGAGTGAAGAGAATCCAGTGCTGCAGTGGGTTCGCAAACAAGCCAGCAAAGCCAGCATGTTCTCATTTGGGAAGCGAAAGTCGGACCCGCGAGGTCTAGCAGCTATCTGGGAAGACCGACAAACAGAGATTGCACAACTGCGTGCCTGGTTAACGGAGACCGCGGAGACTTTCATTGTTATCCATGGTCCTCGGGGCTCAGGGAAACGCGAGCTTGTTTTGGAACAAGCCCTAAAAGAGCACAAGTATAAGGTCATCATTGACTGCAAGCAAATTCAAGATTCTCGGGGTGACACGACCAAAATTTCACGAGCAGCCGCTCAGGTCGGCTACCGACCGATTTTCTCTTGGATGAACAGCATCAGCAGCTTCATTGATCTTGCTGCACAAGGAATGATTGGTACCAAAGCTGGCTTCTCCGAGACGCTAGATGTACAGTTGAGCAAGATCTGGCAGAATACTGGTGTTGCTATGAAACGAGTTGCCCTGGAAGGCAGACGAAAGGAAGACAAAGATTTCAACATGTCCGAAGATGAATACCTGGAGGCTCATCCCGAGGTGAGACCTGTCATTGTAATTGACAATTTCCTCTATGATGCGGATGATAGTGTCGTGCTCGACAAACTTACTGAATGGGCGGCTGGTCTGACATCCGCAAACATCGCCCATGTCATCTTCTTGACGACTGATTCCTCTTTTGCAAAGCCATTGAGCAAAGCCATGCCTAATCAAGTGTTCCGTACCATTGCCTTGGGTGACTGCTCGCTCGAAGTTGGTCGTCGTTTCGTGTTGAGTCATCTAGACGCAGAGGCAGGCGATGGCGACAACGAACAGAATGCAAGGCGCAAAGAGACGCTTCGTGGCTTGGATTACTGTATCAAGATGTTGGGTGGCCGAGTTACTGACTTGGAGTTCATGGCACATCGTATTGAGGCTGGGGAGACCCCTGAAGGCAAGTCTATTTTTGGGTTTCACCTCGGGAGTTTTACTAACCATTGTATAGCTGCCGTGGACCGTATTATTGAACAGTCGGCGTCTGAAATTCTGAAGATCTTCATCCTCGGAACAGAATCGATTGCACCCCAATGGACCCGTGAGCAGGCGTGGCATCTGATCAAGTCTATAGCCCATTCCAAGGATGGAAGCCTGTTGTACAACAAAGTCCTCCTCGACGATATATTCAAGGACAACGGCGAGGCCACTCTCCGGGCACTCGAGCAAGCAGAGCTCGTCTCCATTGGAACAGATAAAGGGTACCCACGATACGTCAAGCCGGGAAAACCCGTGTATCGCGCTGCTTTCCAACGTCTGGTTGCGAACAAGACCCTGCAGGGCCGCCTTGATCTCTTAATTCTCTCCCAGCTCATTAAAAACGAGAATTCAAGTATCACGAAGTATGAGCAGGAGCTGCAGGTCCTTGGCTCGCTGCCAAAACATCCCTGGGAGCTATCCTCGCGGATTGAATGGCTTCTGCGCAAAGTTCACGGATCGCAGTCGAAGATTCTCAAGTACGAGAGTGAAAGTGCTGCCTTGTCAAAGGGTTTGCAGAAGGAGAATTGAGCTTTTAGTTACTGTATTAATCTCATCTCAATATCACTCCATTACAAATAGCAGTATATTACTGAAGCCAGCTCCTATGACTCCAAATCCATCATGGGTATAGATCTGTTGTAGTACAAACGTGAACCAAGTGATTATCAGTTTTGATCCGACTATTCACAATATTATTTGAGAATCCTCCATCACCATATTAGAGCAAAATCACCATCCATTTCGAAAATATGTAAAATGAATGAATGAGTGAAAATGATTTCAACAAAAATAGCACTCAGCTGCCCAGGTCCACTGCCCGTCTGAGACTTTAGCTTAGTCATCCAGAAAAAGACACCTCTGTTTGCCATCGTGTCCCTTCACCCTTCACCTGGATATATTAATTGTTGAAAGTCTCTGGAGTGAATCAATTCAAATTGCCAGTCATACCCTATTATCTACCTCGAGCCCTTGAGTGGGTGCTGGCGCTGTAAAACCGTGCTATCTTGCTTGGTAGGGATTGTTTTGAGGAACATTGATTCAACCACAATGGAGAGACACGAAGCCTCCAGTCTTATACAGGTCGTTCGTGAGAAATATTTCAGTGTAAGTTGGTCAACGGTCTTCACTGTTGTGGTGTTGGTATGCATCACAACCCGGATTATCTCGGGCTTTCAAAGTCGACGTGAGCGAGACCCTTCAAAATCACAGACGGTGCGACTAGCACCTTATTGGTTTCCCTGGATTGGACATGGCCCTGCCTTCTTATGGAATCATGTCACCTTCTTTACAAGAACTCGGTTGGTCTTTCGCTATATTGCCATTCTATGTACCTGCTAATAAGGTTATAGGGAATCCATGAATGAGCCTGTGTTTGGCATTTACATTCGCGGTGTGAAGCACAATGCTGTGGTTTCTCCATCTATGATGAAGACTGTTTTATCTGTCAAAGCTGCCACGCCACACAACCAGGTGCTCGATCAGGCTCTGCAAAACGTCTTCGGCGACCGCAGCCTTATCCGCAATCTGGATTTGGATCGTCACCAAGGAGTTAGCGACCAGGCTTCTACCATTCTCAACGAAGAGGCTTTTGTCACTGAAGCTTCGTCTACTATTACCCGTTTAGTTCAACGTGAGATGCCGAATCTGGTGAGCTTCTGCCGGAGCATTGTTGACCAATATCCCTGGGAGCGTGGAACCAGTGGAGTTGAACTTCCCGATGATGGGGACCAAACAGCTTGCGAAGCCAATTTGTTTGCACTCGTGAGCAATTTTATTGGTCACGTTACTTCTACTTTCCTGATGGGTGAGGCGTTCGTGGAAAATTTCCCTAATGTCGCAGAAGACCTTGGAAGACTCGACGATTGCTTTGTGACTTTGTTTGCCGGCACTCCTCGCTGGGCCCCGCATCCAGCGGCTTCCGCAGGACATGCGGCCAGTGACCGGCTTCGCCATATCTTTTCGGTCTTTCACCGAGCCTTGACTGCTTGGGACGATGGGATTGACGCCGGCATTGAATTGCGTGATCTTGATGATGTCTCTGAACTGGTCAAAGATAGGATGCGGACTTTCCGAAAATTGGAGCTCTCTCCAGGTGCCAGTGCTGCAGGGCACTTGTCTCTGTATTATGATCTGATTGAACACACGACTAAGATCACTTTTTGGACAATTACTCATCTCTTTGCCGAACCTTCACTTCTCGATCAAGTCCGCAAAGAGATTGCCCCTTACGTGGTGGCTTCCAGACCAACTCGCGAGGAAACTGGTTTCCCCTTCGATGAGCCCCCTCGTCTCTCTCTGGATATTGAAAAAGTGCTCACATCTTGCCCTCTATTCAGAGCGTGTTACTATGAGACTGTGCGCCTTCATTCGGCAGGAATTTCGTTCAAGAAGCTGGCGTCTGATGTGACACTTTCCGAGTCGGCAGAAGAAGCTGCCTATGGTCTGACGGAGCCCCGTACATACAAAATTGCAAAGGGCGAGAATATTATTCTGCCCCATGGTGCTCATTACCACGATGCTCGATACTTCTCAAATCCGGAGCAGTATGACCCCTTACGGTTTCTCGTGACTGATCCTGCAACGGGAAAACAAGTGGCTGATTCAAGTATCCTTGCTCCCTTTGCGGACGGATTGTATGGGTCGACAAACAATGGTTTCACCGAGAGGGCTATCTTGACTTTCACTGCTGGTATTGTGTCCTTGTGGGATATTAAACCTACAAGTGGTAAATTCCTCTCAGTTCCAGGGCACAAGACTAGCTGGGGGGCTTTCCGACCGACCAAGGAGCTGCGGGTGAAGATGAAATTGAGAGTATAGGTTATATTGGAGCATTGGCATTTTATTATAGAGAGCGCCTTCTAAATTTAATTTTTATACACAACACATACAACATAGGTATATACTCCTATACTCGATACTCCCTCGGCTCGGATTAATATCCGGATCGGCCTTACGCCGATGACACCATCCACTAAGAGGAAGGCAATATGTAAGTCGCATAAGTAAGCCCGTGATACTCCATAGTTCCTCCATCATCTTTGAATTGTTACTGAAATCGAAGAAAACACAAATGGACGAACCGAGCCCCAACGGGGACTACGATCTCACAACTCCAATCACATCCACATCCGGACTTCGCCAGGGTCTAACATCCTATGGAGATGCTCATTTCTCCCTCTTTCTCCGCAAAGTATTTATTAAGGCACTCGGATATTCAGAAGATGCGCTTTCACGCCCCATCGTGGGTATCATCAACACTTTCTCAGGGTTCAATCCCTGTCATGCCAATGTGCCCCAGCTTATTGAGGCGGCCAAGCGTGGCGTACAACTCAATGGAGGACTAGCGATAGAATTTCCTACCATCAGCGTTGCCGAGTCATTCTCGCATCCAACTAGCATGTTCTTGCGGAATCTTATGAGCATGGATACGGAGGAGATGATACGCGCCCAGCCGTTGGATGCTTGTATAATGATCGGGGGTGAGTTTTAATAGTTTTAATAGTTTAGTAGTTTTTATTTTATTTCAATATTGACGTCTTGTTATGTGGGAATAGTTGCTGACAGAATTTAGGGTGCGATAAAACCGTTCCTGCTCAGTTGATGGGTGGCATCTCTGCCAACAAGCCAATCCTACCACTGATCACCGGTCCAATGATGCCAGGAAGCCATCGAGGTCAGCGTATTGGAGCCTGCACTGATTGCCGAAACAACTGGGCGGCTTTTCGAGCGGGTGAAATTGACGTTGAGGAAATCTCGGCCATCAACGAAGAGCTTGCTCCAACGGTATGTGCAGGTGCATTCTCATGAGATACAAGGTCATTCAGCTTGCTAACCAGAATGGCGGCTGGTTTAGATAGGAACATGCGGTGTCATGGGAACTGCTAGCACAATGGCTTGCGTGACTGCTGCGTTGGGTATGATGCCACTTCGGGGCGCAACTGCACCGGCAGTATCATCCGCAAGATTGCGAATTGCCGAGGAGACTGGCGCAAATGCAGTTGCAATTGCAAAGTCCAAGAGAAAGCCACAAGAGATTTTGACAAAGGAATCATTCTGGAATGCCATCACAGTGCTCCAGGCCATCGGGGGTTCGACAAATGCCGTTGTTCACCTTCTCGCCATTGCAAATAGGCATCCAGAACTGCAGGGAGTCATCACTTTAGATACCATTGAGGAGATTGGCCGCAAAACCCCGCTGTTAATTGATCTCAAGCCGAGTGGAGATAACTATATGAATGATTTCCACAATGCAGGAGGCATGATGGCGCTGTTGCAGGTGCTTCGGCCCTTGCTCCATTTATCTGCTGTGACAATTACTGGGCAAACTCTGGGAGAGGTCCTCGATGCGTCTCAATCCAAGCAACTTTCCTTTTCGCAACAGATTATTCGGCCGATGTCGGACCCTTTGTTTCCCGCATCATCCTTGGCTGTTCTGCGTGGCAATCTTGCCCCAGACGGAGCGGTCCTCAAAGCCTCGGCGTCAAAATATCGGCACTTACTTTCACACACCGGACCGGCTGTAGTGTTTGAGAATTCGGCCGACCTTGCCCAGCGGATCGATGATCCACTCCTTGCTGTCACAAAGGATAGTGTATTGGTCCTGAAGAACATTGGCCCTGTTGGCAACCCAGGTATGCCAGAGGCCGGCCTTATACCGATTCCAAAGAAGCTAGCAGAGGCAGGGGTTAAGGACATGCTACGGCTTTCGGATGGTCGAATGTCAGGGACCGCAGGCGGAACCATTATCCTCCATATCTCACCTGAAGCTGCGCTACCAGAGTCACCATTTGGTGTGGTAGAGACTGGTGACTTGATTATTTGCGATATCGAGACTAGAAAGTTGCACTTGGAAGTTTCCGAAGCAGTATTACAGACTCGAATCGAGAAACGCAGGCAGAGTCTTGTAGGAGAGACACAGGCAAGAAAGCAGAGGAGAGGCTACCGCGGGTTGTATGAGCGATCGGTGAATCAGGCACAAGAGGGAGCGGACTTTGATTTCTTAACAGCTGGAGGCGCCAGCACATAAAATCTATTGTAGAGACAAATTCAATATTAAACAATATGGCCATGGATCGATCGAACTTTGGAATGTCTGGGGAAAGGGGGGCCCTTACCCTGAGCCCTGAGCCCTATCCCTTTACTAAATTGGGTTAAATCGATTAGAGCGCGTAACGCGAACGCGTCTGACCTTGCAGATCCCTGGCCATTGGCGATCCACCAGATTAAGATCGAGAACGATGCTCCAGACTTTCTAGTTGCAACTTGATTGAATTATCTACGTCAGGTCTCGTTTGCAATGAGCTTCGACCCTCTTCGCCCACGGGGGCGTCCAGCCCGTAAGTCATCCTGATGATCTGGGGAGATTCCAATAGCTACTGACAACACGGCTTTCATATAGACACGCCCGGCACCACGATACTGGCCTACACACCTGACGGACGACGGATCATCACTGGTGGTTCCAACTCGGCAATTCGTATCTACACGGTCGGCGAAGATGGAGAGCCCAAGACTATCGACGAAGGTGTTGACGCGCATTTCGGCATTGGTGCTACGGTATGTTGGAACATAATATTTAGGATCCATCAAAGGGACTGACAGAATTTCTAGAATCGATCTTTCATCATGGGTGCCGAGGATGGAACAGTCTGGAAGTACGACATTATGTCGGGCAAGATGCAAAACTTGCTTGTACGATGCGCTTTGCCGGTCAGGGACATTGCAGTGACGAGAGACGGGGAATGGGTCGCAGTAGCGAGCGAGTAAGTTTTGCAGGGGTTGTGCTAGATATATGTTTGGATGCTAATATTAGTGGACTAGTGAGCTAACCGTCAAGATCGTGAAAGTCGATGACATGACGCAAGTCAAGTATCTCCGGGAACAATCCAAAGCAACGAAGCATGTCACATTCGATCCCAGTGGCCGATATGCGACAGTATCCGGAACAGATGGAATCCTCTATATATACTCCATGCACGAAGAGGAGCCGGAACTAGTTCGCAAACTCGATGGAGTGATTAGACGACTGGAGCCAGACGCCGAGGCGACATCGAGAGCAGTGTGGCATCCCGATGGTACTGCATTTGCTTCCGCAGAAGCGACCAGAGATATCTCTATCTACTCAACCTCGGAGTGGAAGAAAGAGAAAACTTTCGCTGGCGGTCATTCTGGCGACATTACTGCCTTGAGCTGGGCCCCGAATGGATCTCTTCTAGCATCTGCAGCGGCAGATGGATATATTGTGCTATGGGAAGCAAAGACACAAAAAATCTTGCAGCGCTACGACTTTGGAAATGTCATGAACCTATCTTGGCACCCGACCAAGAACTCGCTTTCATTCACAACTTCAGATGGAGAACTTTTCATTTACGATAACTTTGTGCCGAAGGATCACGAGTCTCTGCTGCAGAAACCGCTGCAGGCTGCTCCTATTTTGCCCGGGCCTCTGGGCGAGATCTCCAACAATGTTGGCCGAACCACACTCGCGGAGCGGTCCAAGGAGGCTATCCAGCGAGCGGCGAGAAGAGGAACTCCAGACTCGTTGGATGATATCCTTGGTGGAGATGACCAGATGATGGATTTCGTCGAGGATGATGACGGGGCTGGCTATGCCGACGAGGAGCTAAATCTGTATGGCAAGCGGCCAAACGATCATCTCGATGATCTCGGTGGCACTAGCAATAAGCGCCTTTACGCTGGCTTCGAGAAGCCCAAGGCCCACCCACCTCTTCAACCCGGTAGCACGCCTTGGGCTGGAAGCAGGAGATATCTCTGTATGTTCTTGTCCCAACTTCATTGGAATTGATTTACTAACTTGGCCAGGCCTGAATTTGACGGGAGCTGTCTGGACAGTTGACCAAGAGACACATCACACTGTTACTGTGGAATTCTATGACCGAGAAGCCCACCGAGACTTCCACTTCACTGATCCATATATGTACGACAAGGCTTGTCTAAGTGAGTCTTCTACTTATCGTGTTTTTTTTTGTGTTGCACGTTTGACTGATCAAGTATAGATGAGAACGGAACACTTTTTGCCAATAACCCTTCGGATGGTAGTCGAGCCACTATCTTCTACCGGCCACACGAGACGTGGACTACGCGGGCGGACTGGCGGACTGAATTGCCCGAGGGAGAACAAATTAGAGGTGATACCTGAACTCACTATATTCAATCTATCAATCCCACTAATGCTCGTTTTCAGCTTTGGCACTCAGCGATTCATACATTGTCGCTGTGACATCAAAGGACTATGTCCGAGTGTACACACTCTTTGGAACACCTTTCAAGGTGTATCGACAGAAGAGCCAAGCCGTGACTTGTGCAGCCTGGCGCGACTACATTATGAGTATCGGGAACGGCCCTATAGGGATTGATGGCCACACGACCTTACGATACACGGTGGAAAATGTCAAGCGCGACGAGATTTGCCAAAACGAAGACACTGTCGCCCTTCCGGAAGGGGCTTCACTACAGAGTGTTTTCTTCTCCGATAATGGGGTGAGCGCCTTCTGAACAGAAGAGTTGAATATGGAGTTAACCATCTTCTTAGGATCCTTGTATCTATGACTCGACTGGCGTCCTACTAGTTTTACAACACTGGCGCACGCCCGGCCAAGCCCGATGGGTACCACTCCTCGACACGAAGCAAATGGCACGTCTCGCGGGTGGACGGAAAGAAGAGACATACTGGCCAGTAGCTGTCGCACAAGACAAGTTCCACTGTATCATTCTCAAGGGTGGCGACAAGAACCCTTACTTCCCGCGGCCACTACTCAGTGAATTCGACTTCCAGGTCCCGGTTGCCAGTGCTCTTCCAAAGGACTCTAGCGAATCTGAAGACACGACAGCCGAAGGCGCCCGTTTCGAGGAATCCTTCGTCCGTGGAAACGTACTTTTGTCGCTCTTCCGCGACCTTCTCTCGTCGACTAATGCGACGGCAAGCCAGCGTTCTGATTTGGCGCGGAGGGAGCTCGACTTGGATAAGAACTTGCTGCAGATGCTGGCCATTGAATGCAGAGAGGGTGAGGAGCGCGGTATGAAGGCGCTAGAGCTAGTGGCCTTGATGACAGACCGCAACGGTAAAATGCTCGAGGCGGCTGCTAAGATTGCACAACGTTATGGACGTGGTGTTCTAGAGGACAAGATCCGCGATCTGGCTGAACGACGTGTCATGGGAATGGGAGACGATGATGAACTGGCTTGAGCGGATTATGAATAATACTTTGGAATTAGTTCCCACAGATCGGCCCTGTAGAGATGTAGGCCTGTAGACCTGTAAATGTGGTAGATATGTAGCTAACTAACTACATAGGTAGTTATAACAATGTAGGTTAATTGTATACTAGAGCCTCCTGATTGGTTCCCGCAACGTCATTTTCCCCGACTCCCCCGACTCCGCGACTCCGAGCAACTTCAGCCTTCATATCTACATGGCTTAACAACATATTAAAACCAGACTGCTTTTGAAATGCAGAATGCCGAAGCTGGTCTCTCTGCACAAGTCTCTTCCTAATCAGCCGAAGAGCCTTGTCTCTGGCCGGCTTTTTGCTTCGGTTTCGCGACAGCGACTGGCGCAACTTCGTCATGGTCTTCTCAATGAGCCTTGGCTACCTCCAGCCTCAACTACGCCTTTACCAATCACATACTTCTCCCCGACTTGGGTGCGGAGGGAGCATGGGGAAGGCCCGCGGAGAACCGATCACAAGCCGCCAGATGAAAGGACCTTGAAACTCGGAAAAAGTGTGTACTCGCTACTTCCTCTCCCTTTTTGGGGGTTTTTTTTTATAGAAAAGCTGCTCAACTAACGATTGAAGCGTTACGAACCCTCTCACCCCTCTTGCCGACCATCTTGTACAACACCTTACCCACCGAAATCCTCGCCCCGAGTGTTAATCTTCATCTATTCCCATCCACACATCCACACCTCCCCACTGTCAAGGGACGCACACTCTACCGCGCAGCACTATGGACTGTCCCGGTAGCATGGAGTAGTGTACCATTAGTTGGCAACGTGAAATTGCAAATTCTCAGCGAAAGGATAGTACGCGCCGGGACGCTGCTCGACCCTACCCATCACGGCGCCCACCACGACTGTGGCGATGAGCGCCTACTAGTACGATGGAAAACCGAACCACGAACCGATAGCCGCCCTTTCCATGGCCCGGCATCTTCAAATATCAATTCTACAACCTCACAAACTGCCTCATCACAAAATAGCCATCTCTCGGCTTCCACAAACGGCACCAACAAAGGCTTGAGTGTCCTTCTCGGTGGTGAAGAGCCTATTTTCAAACTGTCAAAAGAAGAGCAATTCACCGGTATCTTTATCTTCTCCTTCGATGAGGAAGGTCGCATCCTGACTCATACTATTGAGCATGCCGACGAAGCGGACGGCTGGGACCGGACTGCTAAATTCGTGACTCTCACTGACTGGCTCATTGGCAAAGCGCGTGGCTCGTTGGACCCAGCTGTCAATGCTGGACTTGCCATGGCAACTGGTCAAAATCATGGGTTTGCTTCTGGTAATGGCCGGAGGTCATGACTGCACCCTGGCTGCACTCTCATATGCAATCACACCTTGAGCGAATCTCTTATTAAATAAAAAAATCCGAAGGCAATGAAAGAACATACATTGACCGCCGTGTTTATGTATTCTTTTCTAACCTTTTGGTGCATCGTGTACCTTTCTTTATGTCCAAGGCGCACCTGGGCAGCAGCATCTGGTGATGAGTGCCAAAGGACCGTTTTGGCATTGAACTCTTCTCTTTCGCTTGGCCTTGTCTGCTGGCATCCTGGAGACATAGCATCGCCACTCTTCTGTATATTATACCCCTATACTAAACAAATCAGATATTCTAATAAAATCCCATGTTAAACATGGAGAAGTCCTTCTGTAACTTGGAAAGCAAAATTCATCTATATACCTATGTACATTATTCAGTCTTTTTGTGCACAGCAGGCGACTTCAAGAAGCCGAAAACCGCAAGTGTAACGACACACATGGCAAACCCGCCAGCAGTATAAGCAGCCTCACGGCCAGCCCACCAAAACAGAGAACAGAACACAATAGGACCAGTGGCCCTACCAGCCTGTCCCCAACCCCGCAAACGACCCATAACCGCGCCGCGATCTGCGTCTTGCGCCTCGAAGCTACCCAGGCTGTTGAGGGACGTGACAACCGTAGCAGTCGTTACCGCCAGCAGAGCACCGGCAGCATAGAGACCCGAGGGCGAAGAAACGCGACCAAGACAGAAGAATGAGATGGTACAGGCCACGACACCCACACGGAGGGTGACTAGTGGCGGGAGACGGCGCACCAGCGTACCCTGAAGGAGGGAGGCGATCAATCCCATCAGGGACAAGAGACGTCCATTCAATGCGGCCGGGCTGGCTGTTGTGGCTGATCCCGCATAGAGCGTTGTAGTCAAAAAAGGGAGGGAGAATTCCAGGCCGGAGAAGGGAAGTAGGAAGAGGAAGTGGAGGGCATTGAGAAGGGCCGGGTTGTTTGTATGGGTGCGTTTAGTGGAAGCACTGCTCTTCTCTTCTGTCTTCGTACTCGACACATCATTCTTCTTGGCAGAGTTAGTCTCGCCTTCCATCTGAAGTGTTGTCAGGCGGGGATGCGTCTCAGGCAAACAGGTCCAAAGATAGACAGTTTCAATAAAGATCAGAACAAAGGACACAATTGCAGCGACGATGAACGGGTTTTCGGAAACCATATCAATACTACTGAGTGCCGCCCCCAGCGCCGGCCCAAACGTGAATGCGACACTGAAACAGGCCCCGATTAATGCCATAGAGGAGCCGCGGCGCTCCTCGTCTGTGATATCTGCCACTATGGCGTTGGCCATTTGCACATTTGCTTCGCTCAAGCCGCCAACAATACGACTGGCGAGGAACATGCGGAAGTCCGTGGCTGACACCCACAGCGCGACGCTCAAGAGGTTGCCTAGCATGGAGGTAAGCAGAGCGCGACGGCGGCCATGGCGGTCAGATAGGCGGCCTATGACGGGTGCGGCGAAAGCTTGGAGGAGGGAGAACAAAGAGCCAAGGGCTCCGCCGAGGAGTACGATATCATAGCGCGAGTCAATGGGGCGTGCGAAGGAGTTTTTGTAGGCGTTTAGGTAGTGGAAGATGCGGTTGAGGAGGGAATCTGGGGACGGATCTTGCGCGCGATAGAACGATAGGAGCGAAGGGAAGAGGGGCAGAATAAATGTAAAGGAGATCTACAGGCATTGTTAGTTTAAGTAAACGTGATTGTTGGCTTGGAGGGGATAGCTTGGTCCTACCAAATCTAATAGCAGCGATAGTATCAACACCTTCAGCACCTCCTTTCGTTGGGCGCCAGCGATGGCCATTGTTGCTGGCGCCGTATATACAATCGAAGATGGAAGAAAGAGCCCAGAAGCCAAAAAAATGTGCGGAATGAGAAGAATGTCGAGAAGTTGACACTTGTACAAAGAGTACGGAGTACAAAGATTATTTTTAATCAGATTGAATACGCCAGGAGCCCCACTGGGCGCCGGTCTTCATTTCCTATCGTGGTTTAGCGCCTGGCCCTGAAAACGGGTTTCATTCAAGATTACGCTAGTAATAAACGAATACGCGTATTTAAAGTGCCTTTCAGTCGTATTCGGTTATTTTCATCAAGTCATACATCTAATTGCTCTGCATTTGATTCGGTCTTTGGTAATATCGTTACATTACGCTAATGCAAATTGGGTTAGGAGAGGTACAGTGAAATCACATCGCGTGTCAGTATTGGGCGGTCTTGTATACACTGAGACTACATCTGTTGTACACAAAGTACATCAATGGATGCAGGATCACTTGTCATTGATTATTGCCCACCTGTTCAAGTAGTAAACCCTGTTCTGTCACATCAAACTAGCCCATACTCAAACATGATGTTGTTTAGGAGAAATCCTGGAAAGTAATGGTGCACTCATTATGATCAATTTCGATCTATGCCCGACCTAAGCCTGTCCACCGGTCCGTTCACAAGCGCCGATAAAACAATAGCCATAGAATACATATGTATGTCGTGGGAGAAGCTCTCTGGGGATCGGGAATATGCACGCTGAAAAAAATTGCAGGACATGGTCAAGAAGACTTTGGCAAAGCCAGACGAAGAGATCAAAGTGACTCTCCGTGAAGAAAATTCGTTGCGTTCGTGAGCCATCACATCGGACCAGAAATTGCCGAGGCCAGTCTCGAGAAGACAGACCTAGAAATCCCTCGTTGGAACACCACTTTCGAGACAATATCCCAAAACCAGCAGGTTCTAACTGACATCCTAGGATTGCCACTCTTACTCGCTGGAAGCAGGAGCTTCCACCGAGCTAGAGGCAGGGCCACTTGCACCGCCTCGGCCACGTCCGCCACGACCGCCTCGTCGTCCGCCACGTCCACGGCCCTCACCGACACGACCGTCACCAGCACGACCTTCACCAGCACGACTTTCACCAGTACGACCTTCACCACGGCCCTCACCACCACGTCCCTCGCCAGCACGCTTGGCGTCATTCCGGCCTCGGCCACCACGCTGTCCGTGACGGCGGCGACCACCTGACTTGGCACTGTTCTCGCCCTGGGTTGTAACATCAGCGCCAGCAGAACCGTTGTTCAAACCCGCATCGGCGCTAGCCGGAGTAGCCTGGAGGCCAGTGTCGGTCTCATCAGGGTTGCGAGGAAGCTTGACCCATTCGCTGCTCTCATCGCTAGTAGGAGCCCAGGTTTGCTCCGCAATCGAGTTTCCAGCATCAGAAACCAGAGTCTGCGCAGGAGGGGCCAGCTGATCAGCTTCGGAAGCTGCAGGCCCAGCCTGAGCGCCGAAAGAGGTATCCTGGAGCTCGGTCAATCCAGCGTTGGCCACGGTAGGGTCGGTTGTAGGGTCGGTGGTGGGGGTTGCCTCCGAGACAACTTCAGTGGTCTCCTCAGGGGGAGCGAACTTGTCAGATGCTTGCTTCACATCGCCATCTAAAGAGATCGAATGTTAGCCACCACATTCAATGATATTTGACGGTGGTGGTGATAGTGGGGGTGGGGTTGTGGGTGGGGGATTCATTACTGACAGGTAAAATCAAGAGTGGTCCCCTCAACAGCATTGACCTTCTCATCAGCACCTTCGGCAATCTTCAGTAACGAATTGACTGCAGACTGGTTGCCAGCATAGACCTCAAACAGAACACCCTCGAACGCACGGCTCTCGGTGGTGACAGCATCACCGTCGCGTCGAAGGATGGCCGCGGCGCACAAGAATTTAGTCACGGTGTAGAACTGCTGACGCAGTGCTTTCTTAGAGGCCTCAGTTGCATCAGCAATGGCGTTATTACGGACAGCTTCGAGCTCCGCCTCATGCGCCTTGACAAGCGCAGCCTTCTGAGCAGCCAGACGGTCCTCGTATTGGACAGCGAATTGTTTGTAGTGACCAATCTGCTCCTCGACCTGGGCAATGGTGGCCTGAAGGGTAGGCTTCTTCAGAACCTGGGCCTTCTGGTCGTTGTTGATCTTCTTCTCCTCAATCAGTTGATCAAGCGACTTGTCGGGGTTTTCAGCAACGATGGCGTCGACTTTGGCGAGGGAGTTCTAATCAAAAAGAAAATCACAATGTTAGAGATGTATGAAAGAAACAATTGAAACCAGAGAGCATGCAACAATGACTCACCAACTTCTTCATGGCATTGCGAAGTGTCCTAACGGGGCATACAGTTAGCTCACTTTCACGCGCGCGCGCGCAGGCAATAACCCCGCGACCAGGTATAGGATTTTAGACATACTTCTGTAGCTCCTTCAAATAGCTGCTCTCTTGGCCATCAGAGATGGGACTCTCGGGGTCCTTGCAGACGCTTGAAGCTCGTGAGCCCTTCTCTTCGTCCTTGAGCTTCTGGGTAGCGGAAGCGGGAGGCATGATGGGAATGTGGGTAACACAGATATTACAGTATTTCCGAAAAGCTTGTACAGGTCTGGAATGAAGAATTAAACGTGCTAACGTTGAAGAAAAGATGGGTGTTATGAAGGAAGAATCAACATGCGGGTCGGGAACCCTTTCTTGGTCGGTGTGGCCCACTGCCTTTGGGCTCTCTCTCTCTCTCTTTCTTACGCATTGTGAGCACGCGAATTAAGCAAGTAAGCAAGTAAGCAACCACAGCACTGGCATATATCTACAACTGCGCAATTTACCAGATAACTGATTCATTATTTGATCATTTCTTCCATTGTATTGCTCCAGGGTATCATATTCACATTCGCCCACAACGCCATAATATCACAAAATCCAAGTCAATCTTAGTACAGTATCCCCTAGCCTTTGGTATCCATGCTAGGCAGGTCTTCGTCATAAGTGAAATATCGAGGCCATATTATGGGCTCTGCTATCCTTGGAATTTGCGCAGTGTTTTCTAAAGAAACCCCATACTTGTCAGCTATATGTTCTCACGAGACTTCCAGAGAAGCTTTGAGATCGACCTCGAATAACGCACCTCGGTGACTTTGCGCACTGTATTCGCTGAGATATTCTTTTCGCCAGATTTGCGCGACCGAATCGATGCTTCACGCATTAACCTATAGTGTGTTAGCCCATTGCTAGTTCAATCACGTCGGCGGCGAGAACTCGAATCGGAGGGTTGTGGCCAGTGGATCAAGCCACAAGAATAGATGGAGACGCACTCTTGCATGAATAGCATGTAATCCAAAAAGATCTATAAAACTAGTATTAGCGACTGGGGAATAGAGAGACTTCATGTTAGGACAACCGCGTACCAGGATGTCGGCATTCTTGCTCACACTCCGATTGGAGTGGGCCTTGACAATGCGCTTGACTGTTCCTCGTGGATATAGTTTCTGAACTGCCGCCATGGTGAATAGAGTAAAGGAGGTGGTGAAGTGGAAGACGTGTGCAATGTTCAATGTTCAATGTTTACCCCCCAAAAGGATGTGGGGAGCTCCCGGGGTCTCTAATGTGATCGAACATCGTAATGATCTGTTTCTTATGTAATTTCGTATTCGTATTTCCGGCTGGTCCGAGACACGTGATTGATGTACATCATACGATCGAACATGTACATGTACATATGCATGGATGTATGGTTGTATTAATAAATGCATCTGTATTTTAAGTATATTGCTTAATGTACACTTCAACGCAGTCGTCGAAGAATTCGCCAGGCTGAAATACCAGCAATTGAACCAATGGCTACACGCCAGGCCAGGAAAACCCAGATTGCCATGCGCAAGCGGTCATAATACCCCCGGAGCATGATCCCAACAGCATAAGAAGTCCCATCCGTTGCTTGGTCTGTCGGACCATAATATCTTCCCACTCCGAGACCACCGATACCCACTTCATTGTGATCATGTTCGGTATTCGTCTCCTGTATGAATGGAAATGCGGCCGTTTCGCTATCAGCGGCCATATTACTAGGACGAGCACCCGATCTCACGTTGAGTGCATTACGCTTCCGTAGATTATAAGTCACAATTCTTACAATCAACCGCAGGTCAGGCACGGTAAATGTGGGATATTTCCACAACTTCACGGCTTGATGGGGAGGGAGCATATCCAAGAAGTCGGCCAGGATGCCGAGAGTGAGACCCCAGAGGAGCAGCGGACGGGTAGTGTCACTCGAGTCCGCTTGCCCACTCAGACACCATCCCTTGAAGCGCTGAGCCAGAGAAAGTTTGGGTGGATTCTCTTCAGGGATAAACCCTGGAGCTGTAGTGCATTGGTTGGTTTCCGACGGCAGGAGCCTCACGGCCGAGAACTGCATCCAGCCCATCAGAGACCGAATTACAAGACGGGTCAGAAATCCGCCTTGTCGAGCGAAACGCTGCGACATATCCACATATTCCACGGTCCGCAATGATGGTGATAGGAGCGCGCGCAGGGGAATCCAGTGTGTCGATGCTACTTCCGTGGGCTGCAATCTAAGAGTCGGGGAGTCGCTGCGAGTCGTGAGGAAAACGAAGGGACAAAGAACCATCAGCCTACAATTTAAGTCAGCAATCCAGTTTTTGGCGGCGAAAGTGAATTGGGCATTCGTACGCTTCAGACCCCCAGCTGGTAGTGACTACCCGCTCAGGGAGATTGCCCACACTAATGGTATCCTCTGTTGTCAAATCTAATCCGATTTCCTCTGAAGCTTCCCTAATAGCGGCAGCTTTATCATCTGCATCTTCCGGGTCTCGCTTTCCGCCCGGTAGGGCAACATGGCCGGTCCATCGGTCCCCCACGCGCGAAGCACGCTTGATAAACAGAACCTCCGGTTCACCGTATTGGACCCATGGCTGTGAAAAGAACTCGTCTAAACGTTGTTGAACTGGCTGAGAAGCATCTTTTGTGGAGGTTGAGCTGGGCCAATGGTCATAGGTTGGTCGTACCCGAATAATCAAGGCAACCGAGGCGCGTTTCTTGCAAGTTGGGGGGTTTGGGACGTAGGGATAAGGTTGACGATGTAGCTCGGCTAATACGCCATGCAGATGATGGGACAGCCCCGGGGTTTGTGCAGACTTGGCCTCCATCAAGTTGCGTGTATCTAATATTTTGATGTCAAGAGGAACCCTGGATTGTGGAGGATATCGGTATCGGAGAGGTCCATGTGCACGTACCTCTATCCGGTCCTGACTGGGGCGATATCGGTCTAGCCCGTACTTCTGTACTTCTGTATTGTAAAATAGCGTACAATGCCGTCGGAATATAGATTATCCGACTAGCTAGTTATAGCTAGTCATCCACTAGTCTATTCCTGGACTCTGATTGGTCTCATACAACGAGCACGTGCGTCTATCGCTGGCTATCGAACGCTTTCAGTCTCGAAGCTGCGACATGGTCCATCGCTTAGTTCGAAGCTAATGAGCTATTTTTTTGGTGTCTCATATTTCTTAATCTGCGACAGAATCTAAGCTCTTGCTTTGCTTTTTCGAACCAGAAGGTCAACTTGTCTGAATCCTCTCTCTCTCTTATCTCTTCCTCCCTTCCGAAACCCCCCAATCAGAGGTGCACACCTGCTCTGAGTAACAACTGCACGACACCAATTACAACTGGACTGGCTCAAAATGCGGTTTGGGAAAACCCTCCGTGCTGCGGTGTACCCTCCCTGGAAAGGGAAGTACATTGACTACACCAAGCTTAAGACCTTGCTGAGAGAGAATGATGTCACCCGGAACGGAGAAGACGCCAGTGACTCCGATGACGATCAATGGACTGAGCAAGATGAGGAAGCATTCGTGCAGGAACTGCTCAATGTAGAACTGGACAAGGTGAATTCTTTCCAAGCAGAGACATCGCAGCAACTCCGAGAACGGACAACGGCATGTGAAGTTAAACTTCGACCATTGGCATCTACCTCGGAGCAAGAAACGCCTGCCCTCAATGAACAAAAGAAAAGGGCTATTGCCTCGGAAGTTCTGCAAGAACTCGATAATATCACCAAGGAAGTCAGTGCCTTGGAAAAGTACAGCCGAATCAATTTCACAGGCTTCCTCAAGGCTGCAAAGAAGCATGATCGCAAACGAGGTGCCCGGTACCGGGTGAAGCCTTTGCTCCAAGTGCGACTGTCGCAACTGCCATTCAACTCGGAGGACTATTCACCGTTGGTCCACCGACTCTCGGTGATGTACTCCTTTGTTCGGGAGACCCTTAGCCATGACATTGTACAACCAAGGGAGACGGAGCATGGATTTGGCCGTGAGACCTATTCGTCTTACAAATTCTGGGTTCACTCAGACAACGTTTTGGAGGTCAAGACTCACATCCTTCGCCGATTGCCAGTTCTTATCTACAGGCCGGGAACTTCCAAGGACCTCGATACCATCACTGAAGACCCTACCATTACGTCCCTCTATTTTGATTCCCCTCAGTTTGATCTCTACAATCAAAAGGTCGCACGAGCACCCGAAGCCGGCTCTTTACGACTGCGTTGGACGGGATCATTGAAAGACAAACCTACCATCACATTGGAAAAGAAGATTGTCACCGACGACGACGAAAGTCGACAGGTCAAGGTACAGCTCAAAGACAAGCACATTAAAGAATTCTTGGACGGCGAATATCGCTTCGACAAAAAACTCCATCGCATGGAGGATTCAAACAATGGCGAGTCGGCGGCCGCCGAAGCCTTGAAAAAGGACGTGGATGAGCTGCAGTCCTTCATCAAGGACAATGACCTGCAACCTATGCTCCGGGCCAACTACACACGCACCGCCTTTCAAATTCCTGGCAATGATCGCATTCGTATTTCCCTCGATACCAACCTTGCGCTCATTCGGGAAGATGCCCTCGACAGCGAGCGTCCATGTCGTGACCCAGCTGAGTGGCACCGCACCGACTTGGACGATGCCGACATGACTTATCCCTTCAACGCTGTCAGAACTGGAGAGATCACTCGCTTCCCTCACGCTTTGCTCGAGATCCAGCTTCGAGGCAAGGCCCATAACACCGAGTGGGTCAAGGACCTGATGGTCTCCCACCTTGTCAAGGATGCCCCCCGCTTCTCCAAGTTCGTCCACGGTGTTGCATCACTATTTGAAGACTACGTCAACAGCTTCCCCTTCTGGCTTGGTGAACTTGAGAGTGATATTCGCCGTGATCCGGAAACCGCATTCCACGAGGAGCAAGAACGACTTGCTCGACGAGCGGAGGAGAACATAGCAGTGGGAAGTTTCATGGGAGACGCGCGCAGCCCAAGCGTTCGCCCACAGGTCGGGTCACCTTACCACCAATACTCTAATACAGGCTCTCCCTCGGCCATACGGAGGTCCTCGGCAGTCGTCGAACCTGCTGCGCGGCCTCTGCGTCCATCAATCCCAGAGCCCCAGCGCCATGATACCGAACACGCTCCCGAACCAGAGGAAGCACCCGAGCCGCCCACTCGCCTCGAATCCATCTTTCAATTCTTCGGGATATCTCCTCAGCGCTGGCTTGGGGAATCGGTCTCTCTTCCGCCTGGCGTTCGACACCCCGGCGTCTGGATCAAAGATGCGGGACCCGTTCGTGTGGAAAGTAAGGTTTACCTTGCCAACCAGCGAACATTCATCAAATGGCTTCACATCAGTATCCTCCTGTCGAGTTTATCACTGGGCCTCTACAATGCCGCTGGCAAGCACAACCAGGTAGCCCAGGCCCTGGCTGTTGTCTACACCTTCTTTGCCATCTTCGCCGCAGTCTGGGGATGGTTCATATACGAGAAACGGGCCCGTCTCATCCGCCAGCGGAGTGGAAAGGACCTAGACAACATGCTCGGTCCTATCGTAGTTTGCATCGGTTTGGCAGTTGCCTTGGTCCTGAACTTTGTCTTCAAGGTTAGCCTTCCCAGTCATTTTATTTCAACCCGGTCTTCTCGCTAACTCGTTAACTCGTTAATAGTATTCCTCGGCACTCAGTCAAGGCCGCAATCACCCACTTCCTGATGTGCCGGTTCACTCTAACTCATCGGCTGTTTTCGACAACAGCTCGGGAGGTTCATGGAATAACTTGAACCAGGCCCAGCAGATTTTGTGATAGTCTTTCTGTGTTTTTTTTTACCCCTTATTTGAACATGTGTCTTGTGGAGCTTTGGTGTAATTGTTGGATAATAGCGTGTACCTCAAAATAACGCCCTTCGGGAATACTTGTGATTTATATCAATTACTTCTCTTGTCCAATGCAAATATTATTGTCCAATCGAATATAAAGTGGTCTAACACTTCTAGCACTCATTTAGAAGATACGAGACCCCACGATATAAGAGACATCTGGAAAACCTGAAATGAAACCCGCAACCTCGGGAGTGCGGAATGTCAATGGAAGGAATGCTTACAAATCGACTGTCATCCCCAACATCAAAAGCAATGATCCAAAAAAAAAAAATATTATTATTACTATTAATATATATATATATATATACAAAGCAAAGAATATCCCAAATTTAATCCCATTATCTCTCTGTCGCTCACATCTTCGACATAATGACGAACTTCCAAATTCAGATAATTTCAGACACCGTCTGCCCAGTAAGTATTCCAACCATATATAACACAAATCTATATCCCATCCATCCAAAGTGACCCCAAATTCACATACTAACCATATATTTCTATTTAAAAAAAAGTGGTGCTACGTCGGTTACCGCCGCCTCTCGCGAGCAATAACCACCCACCAAGCTACGTACCCAGCAGACACATTCAGCCTGCACTGGAAAGCATTCTACCTCAATCCTGCATCCGCCGAGTACCCCGGCGTGAACAAAGCCGAGATGTACACTCAGAAATTCGGGGCTGAGCGCTTTGAAGCGATTTTCGCGCGCCTATCGGCTGTGGGCAAGGGCGAGGGCATCCAGTTTAGTTTCGGCGGGAATACTGGTCTCACGCGAGACTCGCATCGCTTGCTTTGGTTTGCTGGACAGCGGGAGGCTGAAGAGGGAGGTAAGAAGGAGGGTGCGAATGGGGTTATTGGTGGGTTGCAAACGAGGGTTGCGGAGCAGCTGTTTAGGGCTTATTTTGAGGAGGAGAAGAACATTACCGATTTGAAGGTGCTTGTGGAGGCGGGTGTTGGGGCGGGATTGGATCGGGAGACGGTGAAGAAGATGTTGGAAGAGGATGTCGGTGCTCAGGAGGTTGATCTGGAGGCCAAGACGGCGGCCAGGAGGTTGGTTTCTGGTGTGCCTTATATTTCGGTGCAAGGGAAATATCATGTTGAGGGGGCTGATGAGCCTGAGGTCTTTATTGATATCTTTGAGAAGGTGAAGGCCGAGCAGAAGGATTAAAGCATGTTAGAGAATGTTAGAAGGGACTTCGATATAGTTCTAATACAGTCAGAATGCTCTATCCTACGATTAACTATATTGAATGATTTCAAACGTTATTATGATCGTCTGTATTCTGTGATTGACACGCCATATCAAGTAAAGCTATTTAGACTAGCAACAGCGTAGCTGATTCTATTTTGGTGCATTTGGGTGTCAAAGATATCTGCACGAAAATAGAATGTCGAGGTAGGGAATATCTTAGTGATCTGTCACTTCCAGCCAATAAAGCTAGCATCCCAGGTCATGAAAAGTACACAGATTAACGCCTGTCATGCAACGAGTGTCTGGGTCATCTGCGAAAGAAAAAAGAAAAGAAATTCCCCTACCCCAAAAGAAAAGGAGGAAACAGCATAGATAATACATAAACAAAATGCAAAGAGGAAATAAAAAATCAAGGATACAGCCCAGTCAAGAGCAAAAACAGTGAGGGAGAATGTAAAATGACCAAACCGGCAAAAGTCAAGTCATCCCGCAAAAGAAGTCATGATAGATCGTAGCAAGTCATGGAATTATGAAACTCCATGTTCAAATTCCGGGGGCATTCAGTGGGTCGTCTGTGCTTTGACCTGATGCAGTTCGTAATCGGGAAGATAATCGAACCAGTCGGTCTCGGGGTTATAGCGGTATGCCTTGAACTCTACTCCATATGGCTTGGGCTCGAGCATGTACAGAACGCCCAGCGGGACATCGAGGTCAGCAACCTCATCACGCTTCAGACCACGGAAGTAGGCCAGGAGCACACGAGCAACGGATCTATGTCCGACCAGGAGCACATGGTCTGTAGTACGCTCTATCTCAACAATGACGGTGCGCGATCGATTGATGATATCGAGATAGCTTTCTCCGCCTGGTCCAGGGTATCGGTAGAAGAGCTTATCTTTCTTGCGGTGGGCGTACTCCTCGGGGTACTGCTCTTGGATCTCCTTGTATGTCATGCCTTCCATCTTGCCGGAATGAATTTCGTCCAACATCCTCATCTGCTTCACATCGTATTCATCTTCGTTGAAGTATTCGGCAGTTTGAACGGAACGTTGCATCATGGAGGACCAGACACAGAAGTTGCGTGGCCCTTCCTGAGGAAGATAAGATGGATTGGGAGGTGTGATGTCGCCAGCTCGAGGCGGGAAGTGCTTAAGAAGGTCTTTCTGGCGCTGATATGCCTCCCACTGCTGCCGTTGGTGATCAACGAAGCGAGCCAACGCCTTGGCGTACCTTCTCCCGTTCTCGCTGAGATCAGAGTCACCACCGATGCGACCTGCGGCATCGTCCAGACTTTCGCCGTGCCGTGTGATCCAAATTTGGCGTGGAGAAAGATTGAAATTGAGTAGGTAGTAGACGACTTGAGAAGCAAGGAACCCATGGGTCTGGTGAGCGACGACTTTACGACCGACATCGATCATCTGGATGAAAGCCATACGATGCTTTTCCTCGTATTCGCCGAGAGGCACGTAGGACTTTTCGTAAAGAGCAACACGCTTCTTAAAATCTTGAAGTGCCTCGGTTGGGTCCTGGCCTTTGTAGTCGGGGCCAGAAAGTTTCAGGCGCATGTTAGCCTCAAGCAAATCCTGATCCACGCAGCTACTTTCAAGGAACAGGATATTGAGCTCTGGGCCAGCGCGATTGCGAATATGGTCAACAATTGCTTTGCGGCGTTCCATGGTGCTGTTGGTCGCATCGAGGATACCAATGCTACCACCTTCCTCCAAAATATAGTCAAGCAATTCATCAAGAGTATCCAGTGCGACCTGCTCTCTCATCTTGACGGCACGCTGATTCTGGGGGTCAAAGAAGTTGGCGGTCTGGTCCATTGGTTCAGGGGAAGCTTCATTGATAGCTTCTTCATTTTCACGAGATTGTGCAGGACCTGCGTCGATCGATGGTACAACAGTACTACCGTTTTGAGAACCCTGTTCAGGCTCTTCTCCGTTCACGAGAATCTTGGTTGGCACCACTGGAGGGGGAAGCGGCGCCCCGTTCTCTGGCGGGGAGGCGTCTGATGAGTTCAAAGTGGTGCCAACGCTGACACTCAACCGGCGCACCGAGTCAACGAGATCTCTGTGGAAAGCACTTGGTCTCCGATCCTGGCCACGATCAAGTGGGGCGGGCGAGGGGGACTTTCCGGCGGCCACACGGCGACGCTGTCCAACATTGAAGATTTCAGTGTCATGTTGGAGCCAGTTTAAGTAGCGGGCCAGCTTCTTCGTAATGTAACTTTTGCCTCGGGCCGGGAGGCCGACCATGACAATGACAAGCTTTGCACCAACATCCCGCTGGGCAATGCGGCCATCTGGAGACACCTTGGACTTGGTCAATCCGGGGATATCGAGGGTAGTTGCACGCACTCGACTGGGAGTTCCAGGAGGGTGATAAAGGCCCGATCTGCAAGGGTCATATTAGTCACAGTTCGCCAAGCACATCCATGCAAGTCCCAAGAGAGTTAACGTAAAACAACGGGTTGGAGTCCGGGGTTAGGTAGATTAGCTCAGAATAAGGCTGCAAAGAACCCCGGAACTGGACTGATCCCGAGGTGAGCCGATCAAATCTTGCTCTGATAGGCTCAAATATAATAAAGTAAAGTCCAAAGGTTCTAGACAAAATAAAATAATAAAAAAATAAAATAAAAAAAGAGAAACAATACTCACATCTGTGGAGACGGAGGTGCGGTAGAAACCGGAGTGTCTGTCAAAGCCGCTCCGACTCCGCCCTTTGACGGCAGTGACGATTTGTGGGAATCGGAATGCAGGTCATTACCTAGCGCTCGGTTGACGACAGTTTTCGGAGGCATAAGAGCTCCTTCTTTCCCCGATCCCGAGCCATTCGATGTGCCGTTGGGTTTAATATTATTCCTCTGATCCCCCGTCTCAGGCGAAATGGCCGACGTCATGGCCGACCGGGCGATGCTAGAATGTTGCGCCATCCCCTAGGGGGATGTTCTGGGTGTATGTTTTATTAAGAAAGGTATGGTTGCTCTCAGAGCTTTTCTCACAGGGTCTTCGAGTTGATAAAGAGTTGTGTCACACCTGGGCCAGACACCAAACAAAAAAAAAAGTTGGTGAGAGAGGGGAGAAAAAAGAAAGTGTGCCCACGGAGGTTTGGATGAGTCAACTAACGGGAACACCGGGTCTTGATATTGACCACTGGGATATTCAAGGAGCTTTGAGATATTCAAGGGATAAAAAGAATCAAACTGGTTGGGGGCTTTTTTTTTCTGATCTGGGGTTCTTTTTTTTCAAAAAAAATATTTTATATGTGCCCTTTTTTGTCGAGTGCATGTGGGGGTACACTATCACTCAAGGATAGGGTAGTGCCAAGTACGTCAAAAGGAGAAGATCTTAATTCAGAGATGTCTTTGAAATGATGAAATCACGCAGTAGGTGTTAGACTTAGTTCATAGGGTGGATCGATGGCTTAAAGATCGTCCATATATGATGTCAAAGGAAGTGTACCAAGTATACAGAGGTGAAAGAGAAATGAAATTGAATTATGATATGGAGATGCAAGATATTCAGACCTAATCCGGAATTAAACAGCTCTTATAGACATCATATTAAATAGATTTCATAAAATCATGCAAGATATATCGGTCCTATCTCGAATAGAGAATGCTTGGCTAAAAGCATACAGGAGTACAGGTGAGAGAGAGGACGGAGTACAGGTTCGAGAAAACACAGTGGAGCATCGAATTACACTCAATCTCACCCCTGTGCAATGCCCTCATAATCCACCGAAATGCTCAGAGCCGTTGGGTTTCCCATCTTGGTAGGGGGTTGGCAGTGCACCCCTGGTTGATTCCAGACATGGCCGACTCAACAAAAGTACAAAAAGTACACAATACTCCGTATTTGGAATCGAACCTGGCAATGAATCAAACATAATTATTGGGAACACCTTGTGTGACCTGAGTCTCACCGCTCGGGCTGATCCATACTCGGCTTTCTTGGCGACTTTCGGTCGACACAACAGATTGATCTCCGGCCAACTGTAGGCGTCCGTTGCTGCACGCTGATCTCCGCTACCGTAAGCCCCGAAAAATGGTTACCCATATTCCGTGGTCAGGTGCGGAATCCTTGGCACTTGGCGGTAACGCAGGGGGGTATCGGGGGTATCACAGATAGCATGCCTAGAAGATAGCCTCTAGGGATATTGGACATACGGTGTGTGGATGGATCGGTGTGCAACCATCCACGCAGAATGTTCCTTATCAGTTGCTCAAGTTCAAGGTCAAGCCAATCAAGCATGCGTACGCCGCAATACTCAGTGCTGTCAAGACCAAGACTGCATTTCCACTGGTACGGAATTTGTGCCGATGGATCCCATCCTCCCCTACTTCCGAGAAGAACTGTCTATTTCCCTGCGAGCGGCGGAAAAGTCCGATAATGAGAACCCCCGTACCGTATATGGCGAACAGAGCCCCGATACTGTAGAACTCGGCGGTGAAAATCTTGAGTACGACGAGAGCGAAGGAGAATTGAGAAAGAGCGGTTCGGACATAAGCCCCCTCAAAGGTGCGTTGAGCCGCGCGCACCTCGACCATTTCATCTGAGGTCAGCACTGCCGAGCGGGCTCGGTGCATTCGAAGGCGATAACGATCCCCTGCGCGACGCTGAGACAGTCAGACTACATAGTGAAGTAGGACAGGAGAGATGAAGAATATGGGGTAGCCCAGGTTAGATGGGAAATTCTAAGTAAACACACCTCAAACATGATGAAGTTTCAAAATCAAATCAAAGAGAACCAAGAGTGAAGGTATTGGAAGTAGAGCGCAATTTCATGGAAGTTGGGTTCCGCAGAGGTGAGAGAGGACGGGTGACACCTTTGGCCCCTCACATGGACTTAGAATTGTATACGGAGTACATAGTAACTACAGTAACTATACTATCTACCACGTACTAACTAATCAATATATGTAATTACTACTTCACTAACTGGTTCACTAGTTACAATTGTATGTATATAATGTACTCTTTAATTTACATACCTTCTAATTCACATATTCACCGAAATATTTTTCCACCAATAACATCAAGTCAATTCCAATTCCTACGTCGGCAATCGAAAAGGCCCCCAACAAGGAAAAAGCGGCTACCGACGTTCCCCACACTCTCCAGGCTCTCCGACATGTCCATGGCTTCTCCAATTTACTTCTCTGACCTTTCCTTATTTTCTCTCTCTCCCTCGAATATACTCCGCCTCGATCTCCATAGCCAATATCACTCAACTCACTCTGCCGTGATTGATAATGGCCAAGGTATTCGATGCGACAGAAGGTATTGGTTCTCCGCATTCGTGTGACCCCCACGCGGGATATTTCGACTAACTGAAGAAACAGTCGCAAAGCACAACACTCCTGAGAGTTGTTGGGTGGTGCTATACGGCAAGGTCTACGATGTATGGTTTCATCCTATAAAGATCCTCATTGTGTCTTTTGTACATTCCCCGGCCACGTCTGACTCTTATCTAGGTCACCGATTTCCTGAGCAGCCACCCCGGCGGTGCAAAGATCATTTTGAAACTTGCGGGACAGGATGCCACCGAGGAGTATGATCCTATTCACCCGCCAGGTATATTAGAGGAGGAACTTAAGCCTGAGGCATTCTTGGGAACAATCGATGCCAGCACATTACCAAAGGAGCAGGCATCCTCTGAACCTCAAGAAGAGATTGAGGGACCACCACCTATGGAGAATCTTCTCAACTTGGACGAGATTGAGGAGGTGGCTACTAAGCAAGTGAGCAAGAAGGCTTGGGCGTACTACTACTCCGCATCCGACGACCAAATCAGCAAAAAGTTCAATAATGAGGTTTACCGGTCCATCCTCTTGCGACCTAGAGTCTTTGTGGATTGCACAAGGTGTGAGCTGGACACAACGGTCCTCGACCATAAATTGAAAACGCCTATTTATGTGTCTCCCGCGGCCATGGCCCGTTTAGGTCACCCATCCGGTGAGGCTGGCATCGCGGAAGCGTGTCGTAGCTTTGGAGCCATGCAAATCATCTCTAATAACGCTTCCATGACACCAGAGCAGATCGTCAAAGACGCTGCTCCGGACCAAATCTTTGGCTGGCAGCTTTATGTTCAGATTGACCGCAAAAAGAGTGAGACGATGCTTGCACGCATCCAGAAGCTCAAGGCAATCAAGTTCATTGTTCTTACCCTCGACGCCCCGGTTCCAGGAAAACGTGAGGATGATGAGCGAACAGGCATGACTGGTCGGACCGCTGCCGTGCCCAGCGGCGTGAAAGCCGCCGAGCGCTCGTCAGATGATACCCCCAACCCCACCGAAGGATCGGGAGGTGTCGGCCAGCAATTGTTCGCAGGCACCGATCCTTCCTTGACATGGACAGATACTTTGGCTTGGCTTGCCACTCAGACGGATCTGCCTATTGTTTTAAAGGGTCTGCAGACTCACGAAGATGCATACCTTGCCTCACTCCACGCACCTCAAGTTAAAGGTATCATTCTCTCCAATCACGGAGGACGCGCCATGGACACTGCCCCTCCGGCAGTTCATACTCTCTTGGAGATTCGGAAATACTGCCCCGAGGTCTTCGACAAGATCGAGGTGTATGTGGATGGAGGTATTCGTCGCGGCACCGATGCTGTCAAGGCTCTCTGCTTAGGCGCGAAGGCAGTTGGCCTTGGACGCCCGGCTCTGTGGGGTTTAGCGGCGGGTGGAGTCGATGGTGTTCGCCGAACATTGCAAAGTGAGTTGACTAGGTATTTGTTCTGTTTTCATTTCTGACGCTGTGGTAGTTCTGAACGATGAAATCAAGACATGTATGCGACTGCTCGGAGTGGAGCGGATTGATCAATTAGGGCTCCAGCATGTAAGTATCCTCTCATCACTTCGTCTTTTTGTCTGCTAACTCTGTTGTTAGATCAACACTCGTGTTACTGAGCAGCAGATCTACGATGGTCCTACTGCCCTCGAACCCTTACGGCGCGCGTTCCGTGCGAGACTGTAGGAGACATTAAAGTTATATACTCCAAATGTAAATGTGTCAATCTCGAATATAATTTGACTACCTGGAGTCTTATTCTACTTTACGTCCCTGCTCAACATTTGCAATATCCAATTTTTTTCTTTTTTTCTTTCCACCAAAAAAAAACATACCCCCGTTGGCTGTTGGCCCACACTATATCGGTGCCACCCTAACCCATCTCCACCCCCAACCCACACAACCAAAAAAATCCTCTTCGGAAGAAGAAAAGACAAAAAAATAGTTTCCCTGGGAATCGAACCCAGAACCTTTCCGGAACACTTGCTTGAAGCAATTGTTAACGGAAAATCATAACCGCTAGACCAGGAAACTGGTTGATGTAAGACGAGGCATCTTAAGTCACTATGAGCGAGGACCTATTATTTCCTCGGATTTATATTTGGATCGAGGTGTTTGAGTAAACTATTTCATGATCTAAAGATTATATCTTGAAGACAGTTATGAATTATTTCGAACCAGACTGGGCAGCATCCATGGATTAGTAAATGTATGATTAATAATATTATAATATTACCTACATATATCCATGGATGTACATAGGTACCTAGCCCTCCAGGGCTGTACCTACATCGCCATATATTCCCCGCATCTTACTTTTCCCATCATACCTCCTCGAGTTTACAATGGCTGCAAACATCCTACAATGGTTTCCTCACACAACTGCTCCATTCATTGCTAATGCACCAATGTTTGGATTTGCCGACGCCAGCCTAGCAACTGCCGTCACAAAGGCCGGAGGATTCGGTATAACAAACCAGCCTGGTTACGGACATTAAACTGACCATCTACAGGGTTTATTGGCGGAGGCTTTGATTTTCGACCTGAATCAACCCAGCTCCTAGGCCTGGATACTCAGTTGGCGAATGCCCGCTCTATCCTTGGTTTGACCGATGGTTCGCCATTGCCGCTTGGTGTCGGTTTCATTACTTTCCAGCCAGATGGGCTCATTGACAATGCTATTCCCATTCTCCAGAAGCATCGAGTAGGAGCAGTCTGGCTATCCTTCCCTCAGGCTGACGCCGATCATCTTCCGATCATAAAAGCCATTCAGAAAGCCCAGGAGATTTTTGACTGGGATACCAAGCTATTTGTCCAGGTAGGAACTATCAAGGCTGCAGAAGAAGCACTTAAGCAGGGAGTGGATGTTCTGGTGGTCCAAGGAACCGATGCAGGAGGACATCAATGGGTCCAGGGTACTAGTTTAATATCCCTGTTGCCTGAGGTGCGAGATCTTCTGTCAAAGGCTCAAGATACAACCACTGCTATCCTGGCAGCTGGCGGCATTGTGGATGGGAGGGGCTGTGTTGCTGCTCTCGGCTTAGGTGGGTTGTTCCGCACTTTATTGTTGCAGCTGATTGACATATACAGGTGCCGATGGGATTGTTATGGGCACACGGGTTTGTCTTGCTTCCTCTCGCCGACACGGATCCTTGCTAATCAAGTACCAGTTCGTTGCAACCTCGGAGTGCCCTGCACCGTCTGTGATTAAACAGACCATTGTATCGGGGAGAGATGGTGGAACCTCGACTGTCAAGTCCATCCGACATGATGTGTTCCAATCAACAGATCTCTTTCCAAGGCAGTATGATGGCAGAGCTATCATCGGTGTTAGCTACGAGGATTCTCAGGATGGGATCAGTGACGAGGAAATCATCCGTCGATACAATGCGGCTAAAGAAGCTGGCGAACATCAACGGAGGACAGTGTGGGCGTGAGTATCCCGAATCTTCTATACTATATGTATCTCTTAGGCTTTTTATATTAATGGCTTTGGTAGGGGTGCGAGTATTGGAAGTATCAATGCTGTGGTTTCTGTTGAGCACGTCGTGCAGTCTACCCAGCAGGAGGCGAGAGTGATACTGGGGCGACTGAATACGGGATTTTAGCTCTATGTGTCTAGTATCTAGTATTTTGTCTCTCTTGTTTTTGGTATAAAGTCCAGATGTTAGCTCTATACCAACAATATATTCTGATCCGAAATATATATATGAACATCAGAACAACACAAACTTTCACCGTGGAAGCTAGGCCATTCCAACACAACCAACCAACAGTTTAAACACGAGCAAGAATATCCTTTCCGTCAAAATTAGAGATAAGTGTCAGTTCAAGATCGACAAGCGTTGGCAACAGGCCGAATTGAGTATCCCCCCTCTCTTCCCTCCCCCCTCTTTATTCTGAACTCTCAATTCCTCGGCCTTCAACGTGACCGTCTCTACCTCTCAGTTCTCTCTCCCACAATTACAGATCTTTCAGGCAAATCAAGATTCACGGCCGTCTTTGGTCAGCCTTGAAGTTGGGACCTTGGTGTTCCCTTCAGAGCTGCCCGCGATTTATTCCTCGATTTATTCCCGTCCGCCGAGCCACGAATACAACGTCGAATCGTGAATTTTTAACAACTGGGACCTACAAGAGCCCATTTCCTACTCTCACCACCCTCAAAACCATCGACTCGACACCCAGTGACGATCAATCTGCCGCGATGAATAAGACTACACCCTCGCCGAGTCCCGTCCCCAAAGCTTCGCCAAGCTCAAAACCCTCTCCCTCGCCGACCGCAGGCACAAAGCGCAAGAGAAATGCCCCGGCCAAATATTATGCTGTTAAGGCGGGTCACAAACCAGGCATCTACTATGGGTGGAATGACTGTCTGGCCCAAATAACGGGATTCAAGGGAGCAATGTGTGAGTGCACTCTTCGCAATGGTTATTCCAATAGGCGTGCCAACCTGACCGAACACTAACACATAAGCTCTTTAGTCCAATCGTTTCCCTCGCAAGAAGCAGCCAACGCGTTTCTGAACGGTACCAAGCTCCCAGCCGAATCGCAGAGCTCGGAGAACACACGATTCTATGGAATCCAAAGGGGCCGGGTTACTGGAGTATACACAGATTGGACAACGGCGCAGGAGCAGATCCGTGGGTTTCCGCGACCTCGATATCGCAAATTCTCCACTCGCGAAGAGGCGGAGGAGTTTGTACGGGAAGGACAGTCGCAGCCTCCAGCCGGGTTTGGCGTGGCATCTGGGCCTCGTGGGATAACGACCGAAAAACCAAAAGACGCAGAAGGGGTCGAGTTTGCGCCGGGCGACGGCCCATTGCCAGCAGGAGCTGAAGATGGGTTTGATCCTAACCTCCTTTTAGACCCAGCCACTGGCAAGGTGGTGTACAAAACCGCACCCCAGATGGCAGCGACAAAAACACAATCAACAGGTATCCCAGGGATGCTTCGGATATACACCGATGGGAGTTCATTAAGGAATGGCACCCCATTGGCATCGGCCGGGGTAGGGGTATACTTCGGCCCTGGGGATTCAAGGTTCGTACATTCGCCCATTGGGCAATATATATTTTTTTACCATGCCTTCTAACTTCCATCACTTATCCCAGCAGAAACGTATCGGAGCCACTTAAAGGCAGTCGTCAAACGAACCAGCGCGCTGAATTGACTGCAATCCTTCGGGCGATTGATATTGCCCCTCGGCACCGAGATGTAACCATAATCACTGACAGCCGATATTCGATTGACTGTGTCACGGTATGGTTTGTTAACTGGCGTCGCAACAACTGGATGACCCGGGACAAGAAGCCAGTTGAGAACAAGGATCTGGTTGAATCAATTCTGGTCAAAATCGAGGAACGAAATGACCTCAAGGTGAAGACCTTGTTTGAATGGGTTAAAGGTCATAATAAAGACCCGGGCAATGAAGAGGCCGATAAATTAGCCGTTAATGGAGCCCAAAGGGGGTATCTGCTAAGGCCGAGGCACTGCATGTGGCCCAAGAGGTGCCTGATGAATTGTTTGATGAAGACTTTTTAGGCATTTAGTTCTAAAGGAAAGGGAATGCCTTGCATCTTGCATCTAATATGGACGTATTTAATAGTAATGTGCATAATATACCTACATAGTCAATAAAAGTATGAACGGAGTAGTTCTGTACAAAGTGTGTCAGATGCCAAGACCTGGGGTGTTTCCCACAACGGAGATCTTCTCTTCTCATCTTCCCACCTTCTCATCTTCGCATATTCACCTCCATAGCCCATACGAATGCTACCGTTGTTTGATTTGAAGCCATCTCAATACATCCAGATGATCTTGCCAACAATTGCACAGGAAATCCATACTATGATTCAATAACACTTGCTTGTACTCGTTCAACCTTGACATACGGTCGTTATCTAAGACCCTAGATCTCACTGATCTGACTCCTTTGAATCCGAACTATCTCTTTAGTTGACACATTTGGGCCTTCATTGCCCTCAAATACAACCCAGAACATTTCAAGCGGGTTATAGTGCAGAGCAAAATGCCGACACTTGCTTTGATCAACTTTAACATCGTCTGCGCGACGCTCGGAGGGTTTATTTCCCTCTTCGGACTAGTATCCTACCTTTGCAAGGAGAAGTTCTACCTATCCGAAGCATGTAAGTGTTAAGTCATCCGGGTGGTATCACCACATTCACTAACAGGAAATAGTAATCTCCCTGCTAGCCGGAGTGTTATTCTCCCCCCATGCGGCTAATTTCATTAGACCGGAAGATTATGCTCTCCACTCTGAGGAGAACCTCGAAGAAATCACTTTGCATTTCACCCGCCTAGTACTAGGCGTGCAGCTAGTCCTAGCCGGAGTCCAACTCCCAAAGCGGTATCTGCAGATTGAATGGCGGAGCCTAGGGCTACTCCTTGGACCAGGCATGGCTGCCATGTGGATGTGCAGTAGCCTAGTGATCTGGGCTATGGTTCCGAACTTCAAGTTCCTCCATGCCCTGATCATCGGCGCATGCGTGACTCCAACCGACCCCGTTCTGTCCAACTCCATTGTTAAGGGCAAGTTTGCCGATAAACATGTTCCCCGTGAGCTGCAGAGGATCATTATCGCTGAATCTGGCGCCAATGATGGCCTTGGCTATCCGTTCCTTTTCTTTGCGGTTTATCTCCTCCAGTATACTGGGATGGGAAGCGAGAGCTATAGCGGTGGTGCGGGGAAGGCGATGGCGTTGTGGTTCTATGAGACCTGGGCATACACCATTCTGTTAAGTATCGCCTATGGAACCCTGGTTGGTTGGATTGCGAGGAAGTTGCTACACTGGGCAGAGGAGAAGCGCTATGTTGACCGGGAGAGCTTCTTGGTGTTTGCCATTGCTCTTGCAGTGAGTTTTCCTAAACAACAAAAACAAAACAAAACAAAGTTCTTTGCTGATCTCTCAAATAGCTGTTCATTGTGGGAACCTGTGGGTTGATTGGGACGGATGATCTTCTTGCCTGTTTCATTGCTGGAAACGTATTCACACAAGAGTAGGTCGTCACGATGTGAGCTATGATACCGCGAATGTTAACAGAGACAGTGACTGGTTCCGCCTTGAAACCATGGACGATTCCCTCCAACCGACAATCGACATGCTTCTCAACCTGTCTGTCTTCATGTGGTTTGGAGCGGTCTGCCCATGGTCATCCTTCCTGGACAACAGCGTGATTCCAATCCATCGGCTCATCTTCCTGGGAATATTGATCCTCATAGTCCGCCGCATCCCAATCGTCTTTGCCATGCATAAGTGGATCCCGCAAATCGAGCTTGTCTCCCAGGCTGCTTTCGTCGGCTTCTTCGGTCCTATTGGAGTAGGCGCCATTTTCTACCTTTCAGTCAGCCTTGAATTCTTGCGCAAGATCCAAGTCAACGGCGAAATCCCAGAGGACGTAAAGCAAGTCATGGAGACCATCCGGGTTGTGGTCTGGTTCCTAGTAATCTGCAGTATTGTAAGTCTTCTTCCCAAATAACCAAATCCCGGCGTCTTCATATCTTATTCATATTCTAACCAAACCTAGGTTGTGCATGGCCTCTCAGTCCCACTTGGAAAAGCCGGCTATCACCTCCCGGCAACCATCTCCAGTGTCATCAGCACCAGCACATACGAGGAGCGCGAGCCGGTTCCCATCTCAAACATTAGCCACACGCACAGCACGGCGACACCTCTCACAACGGGGGAGGATGCGAGTTACCGCAGCCGCAAGCGTGGTTTCCGGGGTGTTGGCATAGGTCGTTCGGTGATCCGTCCTCGTTCGCCGTCCCACCAACCCGGCATAGGTCAGGCCGATGAGCCAGAGAGACCCGTTCACCTGGTTATTGATCAGACTAAAAGCGGGGACAACAAACCCTAGCCCTAATTATACCTGGGGATGTGATCGATACAGGCGGCTGTGCTTTGCTTTGATTGGATTCATCCAATTGCTTGATTGGCAGAGTGAGGTGTTGCGTGGGTCATCATATCCTCCTGCTTTGATGGCCCAGCATATTAGACAGCAACTTTTTCCTACTGTTTTGTTGTCTTCTACAGACACACTTCGGATTATTCACTGAAAGAGACCAATGCTGCTGATGCTGGGGATATTAAAGTGGATTCGGTCTAGGCGTCATTTAAACATGTAGATAGTTAGAGGGTTCGATGGGGATATGGGGATGCTAGGTGATTGTTAGTTGAATCTTATCATATATCTTCATCGTGAGCTGAAATCAAAAGAGTAGCAGAATTACACAGCCTCTCACCACCCTGCCGAGAGTGCTTTGTGTACCCAGGTGTTACTGGTAAATTAGGATAAAGGAGTAATCCAATTCCACCATCTCATTGGAGAAACTGCGTGAGATTGTCGGAGATTTGCACGATTTACCGATATTCGGGATTATCGATGAAGAATGCCTCTCGGTCTGTGATAATAACTACCTCCATACATACATCAACGGATAGGTAGTAGGTTTGATTCGCCGATAGGATTTAGACCAAGGAATACACCTTGTAAGCATAAGAAACATTCTTAAATTGTCCATATAAAGCAATGTAGTAAAGTGATCTTCGTTTCCGTGCACGCAACAAGTCTATCAATCATGGCAACAGTCAATACAACTCGCCCACGCGACTTTGTCGGATATGGAGAAAATTATCCGAGGTTTACCTGGCCAGGAGGCAAGAGGGTTGCCATCAACTTTGCCATCAACTATGAGGAAGGGACGGAGAGGAACCCACTCCAAGGTGACAGCACACGCGACACTCGAACATGGGTGAGAAGCGCACTGCCCGAGAATGAGCGAGACCTCATGCAAGAGGGCGAGTATGAGTACGGGACACGCGTCGGCATCTGGCGGCTCCTACGAATCTTCAAGGAATTCAACGCCCCGTACAGTGTCTTTCTATCGTCAGAAGCTCTTGTAGTGAATCCCATCCTGGCGGAACGGTTGAAGACGGAGGACTGTGATCTCGTCTCGCATGGAACCAGGTCTATTAGCCGCCTAGGTCTCACAGAAGAGATGGAGAGAAGCGACCTTCGCCGGTCCATTGACCAGGCTTTCGAACTCACAGGGAAGAAAATCCAGGGTGCTTTCCCTAGACCACCTATTACCGACAACAGTCGTCGGCTCATGGCGGAGGAGGGCCTGCTCTACGATTCGGCCACCACCAACGACGACCGTCCCTATTTCGCTGATGTTTCGGGCCGACCGATGCTTGTTCTCCCTTATGCCGTGGACACCAACGATGCGCGCTTCTGGGGTGGCCAGTCTGGCCCCGGATACACAGGATCTACGGATTTCTTCGATTACTTGAAAGACGCCTTCGACGTGCTTTACCGCGAGTCTGCTGAGAGCGGTACCCTGATGTCGATTGGTCTTCACGCTCGTATCATGCGACCTGGACGTGCGGCTTCTATCCTTCGATTCCTTGAGTATGTGAGCAAGTTTGACGGCGCGTGGGTTGCTAAGCGGAGTGACATTGCTACGCACTTTGCCGGTCTTTTTGCTCCGGAGAACACATGGAATCTCGATACCATTTCAAATCCACAGCAGCCCCCCGATCAGGAGCTACACTATCTAATACCTTACGAAGGCACGGTAAAAGGTCTTGATACGTATTTTGAGTTCTGCAAAATCGAACGATCAAGTACACGAAGAGTTAATATAGTAAGACATAAGTGGGAGAGGTTTCCGATCATTTGCATATTGACGCGTTGGATTCCTCGTCCTCGAAACCGTTCGCCGCGATAGCCTGAAACCAATACCACTGCCTTGCCGGTCTCTGTAATTTCGACCAAACCCTGACGATGATCTGCCACCAGGATTCGTCCATCGGATGTCACTTTCAAGCCATTTGGCCAGCCATCGTACGAGGCAAAAAGAGACCAACTCCCATCTGGGGTGATGCGGAAGATTCTTCCAAACGGAATATCTACCACGTATAGATTCCCTGCTGAATCAAAACATGGGCCTTCTAAGAAGCTGTTGACGGCCTTGCCCGCTAGAATGTTGTTTGCCCACTCGTTTGCTCCAGCGGCAGCGCTTGTTCCAGGGACAGCCCACTCGTCTGGTAACGAAGTGAATGGTTGGGCATCTAAGCGAATAGGAGGATCAAGATAAAACATGATCAAGTCCTCTGATATTCAATTTCGGCGTTGGAATATCGATTTAAGGATGTGTTTGGAAAGAAAAGTACAGTTCTTTGCACTGAGTACTATAAATATACCAAATATGAAATATGTTAGCGTATAATCAGAAAGTAAGAGGCCGTGGTACCCACAAAAGGAAGTTTCGAAAAGAGAGTACTTAATCTTTTTTTCTCTATTGAGGGAGAGTATTTATAGGTTAAATGTGAATAGGTAGCTCTGATAAAATCAAGGTGTTTTACAATAAATTGCCGATATCAGAGGGAACCCGGCAATGTTGCGAGAACTTCCTATCTTTGACACTCCACTCATCCCTCGACCAATATTAATCTTCTGAAAACATATTTAAATCCTTTCATAGTCAAAGGTTAATTTTGCTTTCTTTTGGGTCAATATTACCACAGGAGACTAGTTGTAAATACAGCTCTTTGTGTGTGATAGTCGATAGGAGGGCTACCTCTTGCCCGGCAATAGAAAATAGCATATCATGAGCAAGCGATCTCTTGATACCTTGAAGGATTTCACCGAGAGCCATTAAATAAGTTGTTGGTACATAGTCGTACCAGCTCAGGTTTAAAACGACCGCTTTCCGATGTGAGGATGTTGAAGTTTTGTTCGAAGTGACTTGGTCCAAGCTGGAGCTGGTGTTATCTCGTAGTCTAACCCCCTAGCGTGAGTTGACGGAGACTTGGGACAAGTTGGCTAGCATTGCACCATTTGTCATTCCGGATGTTCTCCTACTTAGGAAAATTTTGAAGGGATTACATAGAGTTTGGTAATAGAGTCAGGGAATAACGCCATGCCATAAATATGGAAAACCCGAGAGTACAAGAACTAGATAGATACAAGCAAGAGAGACGCAACTTTACAAGCCCTAGATAGTCCACAGCGCCATACCTAGACCATCATAGAAGATGCCCTCAGAAGAATAGCAAATACAAAGGATGTGCATTGGTATCAAATGTGCCCCCGGACATCCGTTTTCCATGCCCTAACTGAAGGAAACTTCATAACCTCGTCAAGGTGTTGTTGATCTGAAAACCAAGATAACCGTTCCACTCATCCCAAAGGGAACCAGAGAGACCATATTCTCTGATCATATTCATATGTTTTTTTGGGGGATTTCTTCTGTCATTCCTTCGATATCGTTACACGTCATACTGAAAAGCAAAATGATAACGCCGTTGATGGGTCCGTGTCGAGATCGTGAACTCATCATGATTCCGAATTCATGAACTTGCAAAAAGGCGAGAATGGGCGAGAAATAAAACGCAATTTAAGATAGGCTGGCGTGCAGTTCGCGGGCACGGCGAGCGAGGGGTGAAATGTGTCGCAGGATTGGGTCGTGCGGGTTGCGCTCAACGACTGACATGTACAGGGTATTGAGGCGCTGGCTCATGATATCCAGAATGCGAGGTGCGACTTCACGGAGATCGGTGTCCTAAAAAAAAAAAGCCAGAGTTGGTGAACATGTTACAAAGATTTGGAGAGGATAATGACATACCCTGGGGTTCACGTTTTGGAGAACAACCTCAAGCCAGTGGAGGCGTTGGGCAATGTTGGTCTGCATGGTAGTGGTGACAGCAACGGCCACGGAGAGCATGACGATCGCAGAAAGTCGAGACAAGTAGGCGGGGGATATGTGGACAAAGAAGTTGTCAAACAGATCAGCCTGCTGGTTCGATTGGAGCCACTAGGAAATTTAACGTTAGTGGGAACATTGAATAAATGGAAGCAAATGTTTGAAACCAACCTTGATAGTGCCCTGCTCGTAGTGACCGGTATTGATAAGCTGCACAACATCTCCCATTTCGACTTCCTCGGGGGATCGCGCGACAGGGGAAGCGACAGGAACCGGGGCCGGCGCCGGCGCCTGGATAGCCTGAGGCTGAAGCACAGGCTGAGACAACGGCTGCGGCATGCGCACGTTCTCACTTGGTTGTCTAGTCGAGGAGCGCTTGTTGACATTCAAGACCTCGTGCTGCGGGCTTTGGATTTGCTGAATTTGGTGGCTCTGGTTCGCGGCCAGCAAAGAAACGGTCTTGGACAAGCCACGCAGGACGGTCGACATTTCCTCGATCTTTGCGGTATCACTCTGGCGCTGGGCCTCGTAGTGGCTGATCTGCGCCTGGAAGTGGCGTTCCATATCCGACTCCACCTTCTTCGTGGTACGTGCCAAGCTTTCGATCATGGGGGCAATTGAAGATTGCATGACCCGGGTAACTTCCGCCTCAATGCGAGGTGCAAGCTTCTGCGCAAGTGAATCGGAGACGGCCTTCACCACAGGTGCCTGCTGCATAGCATTGATGACAGCCTTAGGGAGAATCTGTCGCAACTCGTCATTCAGCGCACCTCCAAGCTGTTGAGAGATAGCGCCGTTCAGTTGTTTGTTGACTGCTGTGGAGGTCGCATCGGTAATGACAGGAATAACATCGGTCTGGATACTGGCTGAAACAATACGCGTCAAGTTCTTCTCCACGTTGTCAGAGAGCGTGCTAGAGACCAGGCGCAACACTTGGTCTTGCTTGGCTGACGAGGCAGCCTCCCAGCTGCGACGTTCATCGTCGAAGCGGCGATGAAGGTTCTCAAACTCTTGGCCAAGACTCTTGTTGAACTCGCTTGAAACACTGCCCTGCAGGGTCTGGATGTGTTTGTTGAAAATTTCACTTGGGAAACCGAAACTAGGCACTGCGTGGTCGGCGGCCTGAGTCGCGCCCATCGCCGCAGTAGAAGAAGCAAGAGTCTCGAATTCCTTTGCAGCGCCGGAGGGGACTGGGAGAGGTTCGACACCAGTAGTGACGGATGGCTCCTTTGCCTTGGCAGCTTCGGCGGCGGCAGCAGCCTTCTTCTTCTTTTTCTTCTCAGACTTCTCAACCACAACAGGTGCCACTGGTGGCTCACTAAGCTCTTCCTTCTTCTTAGCCAATTTGGTAGGCGAAGCGTTACGCGAAGGAGCAACACCAGAAGCCAATTCTCCAATCTCTGGCTTTTTCGCTGATTCCTTGGGGCCAACGCGAGACTGGATAGAGGCCGTGTCACCGTTGACAGATGGCTCATCGGTGGCGTATGTGGGGAAGGTTTGAAGGTCGCTGATTTCAATCAAGCCGTGCTCCATTGCATCGATAGGACGAATAACCTTGTTATCCGCAGTCCAACCCAAATCCTCCTTCTTGATGTTCAAGCAGGTCACACCGCGCGAGTGCATAACGTAGAGCTCGAACAGGGGATTTTCCTCAGTGCCACGTTTGTCAGTAGCGGACTTGGTGATAGGGAGAAGCTCCAAGCTTCTCAGTTGACCCTTGGAACCGAGAGAGATCTCCCGAATTCCACTCAAGCAAGCAGTAGACTCGGGCTTGGGTAGGGTGTTGTCCTTATCGTTGAGGTCTCGGATATAGGCTGCCTGCGACATCTGAGGCAAATTGTACCGAGGAGCCGAAAGGTGAGCAAAGTAGACAGAGTTACGTGTGGGATGTCCAACGACAATGACCCCCGATGCTGGGTGATAAGCCACACTACAGATGGCATCGGACTCGTTCTCGTGGGGGAACTTCAACTCCTGCACGGCCTTTCCCAGCCCAATATCCCAGAGCTGCAAGGTGTGGTTTTGCTTGAGTCCAACCAAAACATAACGAAGTGCCATAGATCGCGAATAAGCGCGAAGTTTATCGAGGAAGAGGACCGAAGTAGGCCAAGACTTTTCGGTTGGGGAGCCAGTGACAAAGGTAGTCAAGGGCACCCGGATCTCAGCCGGAGCGGGGCCTTCCACAAAGCTCGCGTCATTAAGCATATCATTTATATCCCAGAAGCGCAACCGGCCAGTCTTATCCAAAGAAGCGATGACGGAATCATCATCACTGAAAGCGAAGTCTTTGCCGGCTTTACCAGTGGAGATCTTCAATGCGCGCTCCTTGAAGAATTTCTCAGTGTTAACTGTACGCTGAGTACCAGAAACGCCGTAGGTAGGGTTCATTGCTGCCTTCGGCGAAACAACGTAGATGTTCTTGCCCCGGCCAATGGCAAACAAGTTGGTGTGACGAGTGCTCCGCTTGGCCCGCGTTTTCAGCTGGCCACCAGAGGTGTTCTCGTCTGAGGCCGGGAAAGGTGGGAAGATCAAGCTTTCGCTTTCCAAGGCATCCATATCAAAGAAATCCTTTCCAGCACGCGAGATCAAAGCCCAGTATACAGAGCCGCTGACTCCAATACCGAGGATAGCCTGGACTTCAGAGTCACCGGCCGCAGAAGGAGCTGTGCACAGGGCAACGTTGAACACTCGATCGCGGGTGGAACGGAAAACCTGTCGGTCACTCCCATCATCCTGTCGAATAATTCTGATTCCACCGGTTTTGGCGAGCGCATACACGATGTATTCGGATGTAGCCGCAGTCAATGAGCGGTCAAGCTGATCGAACTCCTTCTTCAGACGAGCAATATCCATGACATCGTCATCGCGGAAGGTCGTGAGTTTTCCAGGCGTAGCTTTCACAGCAATGGAGATGAATGGCCTCATTGGGAAGTTGTGAACAGAGACAACTCGTTCTTCTTCCTTTTCAGCGCTGTCTTCCGCACTCTCCCAGCTGTCAGCTAGAGCTTCAGTGTTCTCAGTCGCCTTAGGGGCAACTGGAACCGCGGGAGGTTCCGTCTCCTTCACGAGCTCGTCAACCTGGGCCAAGCTTGCTGCTTCTTTAGCTTCAGCCGCAGTTTCGCGCAAATGACTAGCGATCGACGAAATAACTGCTTCAGAGGGTTCCTCCTGGACAGTAGAAACAGCAGCCTTGGCTTCCGTTGCAGCCTGAGGCTCATCGCCGCTGAGAGAGCGGCCAATCTCATCTACGAGACGACCGACGACCTCATGCACGGCCTCCCTCTGACCTTCAGTCAAAATTGGCGACTGGGTCTTCTCTCTGGGGGGCGCAAGCTCTGGTGTCTGCGAAGGCTCCAGCTTAGCAGAAACGTTGATCTTTTGTTTCTGCGTGACTTCAACGGCCGGGCTCTGGATGCCAGAGTTAGACTGGGGAGACTTGTTCACAGGAGAGATAGCGGCCAATTGGTCAAACGGATTGACATAAGTGAACATTGAGTCCTTCGAGGTGGGCGATACGACCGTTTCCGGGTTCGCAGGCGCCTTGGGACTTTCATCCACAACTTCCATAAAAATATTCTTGGATGGCTGGTTCTGACGTTCATCGGCGACAGCCTGGATATATGGTGCCTGCTGAGTTGAAGCCAGCGCCGGTGATTCGGCGACAGCAGGACCTGGCTGAGAACGATTGAGCAGGCGAAGTAACATATCCTGGGTGTTCTCATTGGGGCCCTCAGGCTGACCAGATTGGAATGCCGGAGCAGGGCCAGCAGGAGCAGTCACAGGGGCGGCAGAGGCCTGTTGACCAAACAAAGTAGCAACCAAGTCAGACGCGGAAATATTTCGTCCGTGCGACGCAGGAGCTCCCTGGACCGGCGGAGTCTGCAAGTGCTCGGGAGCTGCAGCTGGGGCCTGCGGCTGAGGAGAAGCACCGGGACGCTGGCTGAATCTGAGGAGATTCAAAAGGTCCACAGATCCTGGGTTGGTATGCTGCGGTTGCGGCTGCTGGGGCCATTCGCCCCGAGGAGAAGGCACATTAGGGCTCAAGATATCAGAGCCCTGATGAGGGGGTGCATTCATTGGGGCAGGACTTTGGATATTCGATGATACCGAAGGATGTTGGTAGCCATGCGACTGGGGATGAGGGTAGCTCTGGCCATCGTAAGGTTGCTGCTGCGGAGGGTGCGGCGGGAACAGGCCGGGCTGGTAATACGATTGGCGCTGGGCCTGAGCCTGAGCCTGAGCCTGAGGATTATCCTGGCCAGGAGTGTTTGAAGGAGAAGGACGTGGCCGGATACTGGCTAAGAGAGCCTGGAGATCGGTGGGGGTGGACATTTCTGCCGTTACGCCGTGGTTACAGGCGACCTCCGCCGGTAGGATCCAAGCTTTGCAGAGCTCTCAAAAGCTCTCTTTCGAGAGGGGCAGAGTATGAAATTGGGAATCACAAAGGCTAGAAAAGGCGACAAAATAGCAAATCAGAGATAACTGCAAGAAAAGAGAGATGAAATTGAAGAACGTGGTGAAGTAGAGAGGAAGGGTGAAGGAGAGAAGAACTCTCGGTAATATTGTTCGAGCCGTGGGTGTGGCTGAGGCTGCCGAGTTGTGGCGAACTGTGGCTAGTGTTATTTCTTGCCCGACCCGCGTCATTAGTGATCAGATTGCTTTTATTTCCTTTAGCCCACTTTCACTTACTGAGTTCGAAGGTGATGAGCTCACTGGACTGTCGGGATATTTTAATTACGTCAAATAACGCTCTTGTCTATCTATCTGCACCTTTCCGCTAAAAGGCCAGCGCCCGCAAAACCCATCATCATCATGTTCTGTCTACGAAGGTGAGAGATGCAAGCAACCAGCAACCAAGCAGGGGCATCGTGAAGACTAACCGATATGACCGATATTGCAGCTGGCTACCTCTCCTTTTCATCCCGACCAACGCCTCCCCGCTCTTCATCATCTCGTTTGTTGCGTTGACATACATCATTCACCGGCCATGTATCTACTGCTCCGCATTGCTCCTGATTCTATTCGTCTCCTCATGTCATTGGTCAGACCGTTGTATCTTTGACCTACGAAGTAATTGGTTTGCACCACGCTATACCTCAGAACCTAGCGGTTATGCTATCTCAGGCAATGCAACCTCCGAAGCAACAGTGTCTGGTGAGGGTCTGACGGAATTTGTGTTCGATACTATAAACTCCACTGCCAAGGTCTTGGCTAGTGCTGCGTTGGAGGGCGTCCAGCAGCGACTTTCCCCCGATGGAATGGAGTCAAGGCCTAACGAGTGGACAGGAGTTGGGTTGGAGTGGATGCGCAGCCTCTTGGGGAGACGGGAGTGGACTCTTCCATGTGTTGACGTCAAAGTCCGACTATGAAGTGTGCAAAAGTTTTGATTAAGCATGATTCCCCAGTTGATGTATTCCAGTGAGCTTTTGATTTCTCATACATTATTTACGACTCTTGTGTTTTCAGTTCATGTGCTGCAGATCTCGACATGCTTCCTTGAACACCCATGAACAACCATTGTACATACCCCATGGTATATTAATATATCAATCATTGAATAGCTTTTTGTTAGAGATACAGGTTCTTCTGCTGTTATAACTCAACCCAAGCAGTAGCCACGTACGGCATAACGCGATACTTAACTTGGAGGGGAAGACGCCCTCTAGACCGAGCCTAGCCCTTACCTATGTGTCCCTCGTGCCAAATTTAAACATCAACAACGATGAAGACCAAAGGAGCAGAAAAACAGCTAGTATTCCTATGGGGATGGGACTGACTGCTATATATATGCACCACGGACCAAAGGGAAGCCTAAGCTATGACATACAATGACAAGATCCCCAACTACCATGCGGCTGAGAGCTGCAAGCAAATTACATAGAATAGGGCCTATCGTTGCCATTATTTGAGGCTGGACAGATACCGAGTCCAATAAGGACATTTTCAATCGATGGAACACAAGCGACACATGAGCAGAGCTAGATCCGAATCTTAGTTTTTCTTCCCAAGACAGAGTCGGTGAAAGAAAAGAATATACCTGACTCATAGAAGTCGTCAAACACTTCTGCAGAGCAGCCGGATCACCATTGGTAATGGCATTAGCAATGCACGTAAGTTGAGCCGTCAAATTGAGACAAGCAGCGAGGCTACACGCCTCTGGGAGCTGCCGGACGATATCTAGATTTTCTTGCCGCACTATACATATGATTTGTATTAGTATGCTAGCTTACTCAAATTTCATTCGAAGAATAATTAGGTTTATAGAAAGAGATCTGTACAGGAGGGTTGGATGCGGGTATTATTGGCTACAGGAGCTATTCCTGCAGCAGAGGTCAACCCTGAGGCGAAGACGAGAGCAGCGATATTGAGACGCATATTCGATAAATTTCGGAGAGAATTGAAAATGAAAAACTGAGATAGATGGGCTCAATTTTGGTATTTGTTAGGTTATAAAGGGACGGGGTTACGCTGTTGTTAAATTACATAGCTGGTTATTATATACACCGGCGTTTTAGAGTCGTTTTCAGCAAAAAAGAGACGGACATCTAACTCTCGGCACGAACATCACATTGGGGGCCAATTGGTAGATGGGAATACGGACGAAGTGCAAACTAGCATACCCAGGTGGTCACACTGAGTTGCATTAGAAGGCTTGTCTTTCCCCAATGTCTTTCCCCAAGGTCCATATCGGCGTAGGTAGGTAGCATCAGATACTACCTAGTCAATATAAGAGACCCGAGAGGAGTTTACACAAAAGCCTTCCCATGAATGGGTGGGAATCGGCTGTTTTAGTTAGGGCTGATGAACTCGGAAAAGGTGAGATAGCTAAAGTCGATTATTTGACATGGGTTACAACTAAGTACATGGTGAGGAGGTATCTGCCCGGAAACAAAATAACGGATAAACGCCGACGGAAAAGTGGCCGTCCTGAAGTTGGACCAGGAGATCAGAACTCCGGGTAAGTTCATAAAACATAGATAGGCTGGAACGAGTCATAAAGTAAGGCATGGTAACCACCGTAAAAGCAAGAGATGGCAGGTGAATCGTGAAACATGACTCAAGGAAATGGGGTATCACAACGTCGACAATCCCAGTTCAACATCCGGGCTCGTAAACAAGCGTGAAGAAAGTTATGTGTGGCAGAAAAATAATTAGAGACGTTAGAATTCGCACGCAAGAAACTGACGAAGCAAAGTCATAGATGATGCAAATGGCATAATTATCAGATCAGTTGTAACCACCGCCACCCACGGGCAGAGGCCAGTCGTCTTCAGTGATACTGCTCCAGAAGCCCCAGACCCCGGAGACAGAAAGGAGGGTGAAGAGAGTTTCGAATAAAGCTCCATTGATCTTGCCATCCGTGGCCTGGCACAAGTGGGTGCTGATCACATAGTTGAAAACCTGACCAATCGCGAACAAGATGCCAGCACCGGTGAGATACACTGTTGCACCGTTAGCACATGGTCATTTTGAGTCCAATGTGGTGTACTTACGCATTGGTCGGAACTCGCCCAGGACCCGAAGCACTAGAACGGCCTCCAGGAGGTAGAACAAAACCAGACAGACGAGCGGGAAGAGTTGGTATAGAACGTAGAGGGCGATGTTGCGATTTGGTGGTTCATGACTTGACTGGAAACGGCCGGTCCAATCGAATCCGGTGTCCAAGGCAATATAGCCTGTCCCGATGAAGAGGGCCGCGGCAGATGCGCATATGAGACCGATGGAAGCCGCGGTGCCGTCGTCAATTAACTGGAAGCCGACAAGTGCGTTCATGAGAAGGACCCAGGAAGTAGCCGTGATCGCGGCGATGTGTACTGCAGAAAACCCCTAGATGCTTCTGTCAGCCGAGGCCCCGGATCTATCCTGTAGAAATCCTACCTTTCGGGCTGCGTCGTTCAGTGGGAAGCCACCCACTGTGAAGATTTCGCAGATCTCAATGACGATAAAACCGAGCAAAAACAATTGCATTTCCCTGCGCGCACCATTTCGTCAGTTGATAGTTCCATGGCGAATAAAGATATTCCATACCTCCGGCCGACAGCAGCGTGCTTCTTGTCCGATCTCCATATCATACCCGCGGTCAAGACAATGGCGATGAAGGCGAGGAGAATCGAGCCTATCAGAAATCAGCCATCGTGCTCATATCATTTGTCCCCAATCGTATCGGCCTCGGTGTCGACTTCGTAGATCGTACCTAAGTTCCGAAGATGTCTCTCCCCGGTGAGAGGAATGCCGGTCAGATCGCACGAGCCGAAGGCAACAGCCGCAGTTTCATTGGTGAGAAGCTGTACGCGACGAATGATACAGTCAGTTGACAATTATATAGAGTCATAATAGGGGGTTTTCAAACAGATCTCACTCACATTGCAGACTGGTAGGGTTGAGTCGCGACAGAAGTTCTGTGGTACCCATACAGGTGTGCGGTCAGTATCTGCCCATTGGAGAGTCAATATCCAGGTCGATCTACACTTACGTGAAAGTTCCCGAATTGAGTGGACCCCATTGTGAATTGGAGGTTCAAGCGAGAGTCAAAGAGGGGAGGTAATATTGACAAAGACTGTTGAGACTTAAAAGTTCAAAGATGGGGGACCTGATCTGCGCGGAGGACCGGTCCAGATCGGTAGATCTCTAGTGAAACCAGGTTGAGGTTGAGGTTGAGGTTGAAGTGGAAATAAAAGTAGGAAGTAGAGAAGTCAAACTGTGTGAGTAGCTGTGCAAGAGAGCGAACTGTGAGGGGAAACAAGAAATCAACCTTGGAAGATCCCCACGGGTTACTCGGGGGACTCACAGGGCTGGCGCTAGTGCTTAGGGGGAAAAAAAAGGCGTCTCTTCCAAGTTTTCGCTCGAATTTCGATTCAAAATGCAAAATCAAAACAAATTCAATTTGGCAAATGAATCCTTGGGTCCAGTCGGCTAATAATAGTACATCCGTGGAAACACTCTTCCCGTCTTACGTATAGCCGGAGAGGTATTCAACCGTATAAAATTGCTGTGTGTACTCCGTAGAGAGGACTCTTTTTTCTGTTTCCCTTTGATATTCTGGATACTTGCAGATCTTATCTAGACCTACTGTTGATATTATTTTCTTTTCTTCTCTATTTTTTCCCCCTTCTTTTTGGGAACAAACTGGTTTACCTCGACCCTTGCTGGAGGCAATAATATATGGTCGCCAGGTCGACCAGATGGATTCAAGCCACCATTTAGTAAATGCACCTGTGGATACATATGATCCTCTCTGAATTTTGCATTTATAAAATTTTTGGATTGTGATATATGCACCCGATCATGTTTTGTGCCTGCAGTGCTGTACCGTTACTCTGTACTCTGTACCTCTACGGAATATCCACATGGTACTTACTATATGGAAGTATACCCCTTAAGAACTCGATCCAGTCCCATTGGAAATCAATTGATTCACATCCAATATTAGCGAATCAGCCCCTTCTGCACGGTACCCCATGCAGTTTGACAATACTCGAACGTTCCTCTTAGCAAACATCCTCAATCACCAATTTTTGCCCATCATGATCGCCCAGATCCAGCTTCAAGGTGCGCCCAAACAGCTCGAGGAGCATCTCAAAGCAGACCTTGGTAATAGCTGGATCATACCGACCCTTGCTGAGCTCATCACGGATAAAGGCATCTGGATAAGACTTCTCGTCAGCACATTTGTGTTTGGTGTTAGGAGATTTGTTCAACTCACGTTGCGCCCAGGCGACTTCATAGAAACTGAACAAGACGCCCTTATCATGCAGGGTCTTGCGGATGAGATCGCGTCCCTCGGGCGGGACGTGGTTATCGTTTTTGCCGAAGATCTAGATATTTTGTTTAGCAGTTGACCCAAATGAGAACAATAGGGACAAATAGAAAATAGAAAATTTCACCACATACCATTAACATCTCACCCTTGATATCTCCGGCTCTCTCCAAACTATCATCATTCTTGCCGAGGGCAAGGGTCTTGCTGTGGATATCCGTGGCAAAGTAACACACGCTCGCCTTGACCCGACTATCCAGCGCACAACGATAGGCCAAATGGCCACCCAGACACATGCCCGTGGCACCAACTTGTCCATTGCAAGTGGGTAGCGAAAGCAGATAATCCACGCTGAGACTAGCGTCTTCATCATAAGCGGCAAGTTTCTGATAGACAGTCAGCGGCGGAAAATTAACTTCCCCCAAGAAGAGCCCAATAAAGAACAAGAATAGGAAACGCAAGTAAAGCATGTGCTCGTGGAAGCTGTGTTATTTCACATACCTTGCCAATCTTCCATGCATTCCCCTTGTCCGTATCCTCCGCGTCATACTTCAGAGCTTCCGGACCAGTGAATTCATGGTAGCTCGAAGGAGCGACACAAATGTAGCCCTGGCCTGCGATCTGGCGTGCAAAACGTGCCACGGGGCCCGTTACTGCGGATCGTGAGCTTTAGTTGAGGTCTTGGGGGAATGATCGTAAAGGGGATCCGAACCTTGATAAATCTCGCTGAAAACTACGACTCCGGGGAAGCGGGCTTTGGGGTAGCCCGGGATTGTTGGGTGGAAGACATAGATACCTGGTAAATTGTTAGAATTGGCATTATAAAGGAGCAATGGTTATATAGAGGAGGGGGGGGATGTGCTATATAAGAGGGGACAATAGTGTACATACGCATCGTCCCCTGTCCATCCGCTGTGGTGGGGACATCATGATACGATTCTTGGATCAGCATAGTGTGTTTCTTTTCTTTTCAAGGATAGAAATATATTGAAATAGAATTGAGAAATCAATTGAAATGACCTCAGGAATACACACGAGGCGCGGCGAAATCATTATCGATAACACACGCGGGGCAGTCATGTGCTGATACTGGCCAACATCTGAACACCCGGTTTAATGTACTCCGAAGAGTTCTTTACTTTTGCCTTTGAAAACAGCAATTATGGAATTGAATAGAATATTATCTCTTCACATTTCGATTAACTTCGTAGTCCGTGACTCGTCACAATCGTTCACAAAGTCATAAAAAGCCCCATGGTGGATTCCAAAATAACTTAAGACCACCCTACGATGGCCCGAACATCTTGCTTCATAATCGACGCAGGTATTAATAGTTTATTTGACGTTTTGTTTTATACATATGATACACCAAGTTTGTATGGCTGAAGGATGGTCTGCTTAGACCTAAAGAAGAAGAAAATAATCCCCTGGGCTCC